GAAACTAAGCAATTACTGAATGACGACAGAGACATCTAAGTGGGAGACAGGAACTGGCTTGAAGGAGTGTCCACTTTCCAAATCTGGGGCAGCTGAACTTCAAAGTAAACAATGATAGGAAAGTATATACCCTATTGACTAAGAATCCCTAAGTCCATTCTGATATGAGTAAATAAATAGATAAATAAGTGGGGGAGAAGAAAAGGCTCTCACAGTAGTATCCCAACAAATAACTATGAAAGAAGTGATAGAATCAGAAAACCACTATTTGGCAGTCATCCAAAAATACAGTTGTTCATCCACAGATGCAAAACTAGTAGACTGGATTTCATGAGAAACATTTGTCTTTCCACAATAATTTATTAATTACTAGTATTAATTACAATTTATTAATTACTTTCCACAAGTATTTATTAAATAACTTCACAGTGGAAAAACCTAGCACACTCCCTTACCCAGATGGATCAAAGTCAAGTCACCAGTTTTTGTGTATTAGTATTGAGCAAATATTGGTTCACCAGTTCTAACAAATGTACCTCACTAATGGGAGGTGCTAATAATAGGGAAACTGAGCGGAGATTGGTGGGGTATATGCGAAGGGAACTCTGTACATTCTGCTCAGTTTTTCTATAAACCTAAAGCTCAGAAAATAAAGTCTAGTAATTAAAAAAATACCGTATCATGACACATGAACATAGATGCAACGGAAAGTTGTGTCTATACAGCTTTGCTGAAGCACAGCCACCCGGCTCACGCACACGCTCTCTGTGGCTGCTTCTGGGCTGGTACCTCTGGGTTGGACGTTCGCAGCAGAGAACATATGGCTCACAGACTAAGCCGCGACGCCGCAGCGGTGCAGGCAGCGATGGAGGCCGCTGCCCAGCCCAGAGGCAGGCCACAGAGGACCGTAAGGGGACCCAGCCACCAGGCCCGCAGGGCGAGGGACAGGCGAGGCCTGTGGGGTGAGTTTCAGGAAACTCGTGCGGTTGGTGGCCTTTGTGTTGTGAATCTGTCATCTCTTGGAAAGGGAGGAGATGATTTGCTAGTGAGCGGGCAGACGTGTCCATAACCCACTTGAAGAGAAGCCGTGTTTTCAAAACTCTTGGCGAATAGTGTATTCCCAGGTTATAAAATGAATGTACTCCAAGTGTGGGGATATTGGAAAATTCAGAAAAGTGTAAAGAAATTAAAAGCCACTTGAAATTTTACCACCGGGAGATGACATAGAACAACATAAAAGCTGCTGAAATCATCCCATAATTGTGCCTCCACGTCCTGGAGGTCATCCCTGCCAGGACGTGTCCTGAGTCTTCTGTCAGTGCGCACGGCAGGGCCAGCCCACGTGAACAGGGCGCCCGGCGCTGAGGCAAAGCCTTTCCTTTTAGCTGTCAATGTGATGAGAAGGTCTGTAGCTAAATATCAACAACAGCATTTTAATACTGCAAATAAGGAATTTTTTCAATTGTCAGAAACTTAGTTTGTAAAACGTATCTAAGTGTGTGTGTTTTTTAATGGAGAAAATGTCTTAAAGACTATATGCGTTTAGTAAGAAGAGGAGACAATAGCAGTATCTCCTGAAAGTGAACCCAGAATTGTATGATGATTTTAATGTCTTCCTTATGTTCTGTGTAATCTCTGGAAGGTAAATTTTCAAGAAGGACTTCTATGGATGGCTTATTTTCTGCTTTGTACTTATCTGTATTTTTAAAATAATGAAACTCCTTAAAATAACCACAGCTAATATTTTGTAGCCATACTGCATGTAGGCTTTCACATCCCGATCAAGTCACTTTGTAGTGTCCAGCGGGCATTTGCCCACGTCACCAGGGGTTAAGCGACACCCACTCTTTCATATGTGGCTGCTGTGAGTTTTTTCCATCCCTCTGTCACTGTTGGTGGTGGTCCTGGTCCCTCACAGTGCGGCGCTGCGGCGCATAGTAGTGCCCCGGGTTCTCTTGTGTCCCTGGAATTCCTCTCAGGCTTTAATCTTAGAAATACAGTCACCAAGTCAGGAGGCTGTCATTGCATATGAAAAGACTGATTTTAAGAATTCTTGCTCATTAATTACTATCAAATAAGCTCTTCATAATAAAATTGGGCTACAGAGAACTGTTGTCTATTTTTAAAGTGCTCTTTGAGCCCTATTCTTAGAAGTATTTATGAATTGTTAATGACAAATGTTATATCTGAACATAAAAACCATGTTCCCCCCTGAAAACATTTCCAAAATAATTTTAAAGGTAACTAATCATGTTAAAGAAAAGTTTAAAAATTAAAAAGATTTTGTCAAATCTCACCTCCTTTCTTTCCTGTGAATTTTACATAGCTGGAATAAAAGCATGTGTAGTTTTTGTATCCTGCTTGTTGGACTTAACACTCCACTGCAAGCATTTCTTCCGTGTTGCTATGGAGTCTTCATAACTATGATTTTTAATGACTACAAATTATTCCATTGATTTCATGTACTGTAATTAACATAACCATTCCCCTAATGAGCACTTAGGTTATTTACAAATTTTTACTCATATGGCACTGTGAAGAATCTGGAGTATTTCCTTAGGTTCAAGTCCCCAAAGCGGATTGACTGGGTCTGAATTTAAGTTTTTGTTCCTTCAGAATTTTCACTAATTCATACTGGCCTGTCTTGTAGGTCAGTCTGAATTACTGAAACTGGATTCCAACGACCACGACATTCAGCGTGTCCCCAGAGGCAGAGCACCCCGTAGGTGCGATGAGGTCCTGAGGAACCACAGGGGCCAGGACACTGTCCTGTCTGCAGAGGGGACCGTAGTGGGTCTGTGGATGTGTCAGACAGAAGTGACGCCTTCCTCGCGCACCCGGCTGGTCCTGCAGTGAGTGCGCTCGACCGCCCCTCTCAGAGACCTCTTGCTCCCCAGCCTTTGCCAGTGAGGAAAGAAAATACACAGAGGCAGGGAGGTAATCATGTCACCCCCTCCTTCTTTCCCTTTTTCTGTTTCCTTTTGTGAGAATATCATCAAGCCAGGATGGAAATGCACTTATGGTGCCTCCTCGCTGCCGAAGCGAACTCCAGCACCTTCCCTGGGAGATGCACAGTGGACAAAGTCCACAAATGCTTCTTTGTTGCCCGCGGCCGTGCGGTTTGGCCCCCAGAGTTATCTCAGATGCACAAATAAATCTGGCGGCCTCCAGTTGTCTCCGGCTCAGCCTCGCCCCCTTCCCCGTCCGTCTCCCTCCTCGCAGCTTCCTCTTGGCCTTCAGAGGCACAAACCCAGTTTCTCATCAATATGCCCTGTTAACTGCTGCCAAGCCTCCAGCAGTTTCGTGCATATGTTCCCTTAATCATTTCTCTTTGTTCTGGGAGTCTGGGTTTGGTTTCTGAATATCCTCCGCCCCCTGCCCCCGGTTCGGCCATGGCAGTCGCTGCCTGTAGCACACGACTGTCTACTTGCTGCCTGTTTCATGAACACCCTAGATTGCCTGCCACAGAGAGAGCCTCCGCAGTGCGCTCCCGACAGGCTAAATCACCCCCTTCCGAGGACGCTTGTGAGCCCCTCCCCGAGAGCCCAGGGCCTCGCCCAGGTGAAGGGCTGCGGAACCCTCCCGGTGTGGACAAAGCTTCCTTCTTAGGCCTCTGCCGGTGCAACACAAGAGAAGGACGCTTTCTTCTTGGAGCCCGACCATGTCTAGGTCCGTCGGTCTCAATGGGTCATTCATGGTGTCCAAGAGAAATACCTCCGGAGCTGTATTTCATGGGCGGTGGAAGTGGGCCTGGCCTGCGGGCGCGGGCGGCCTGCTCGCTGGGAGCGCCTTGTGTCTGTGGCCCAGGCGGCCTCTTGCCCAACGGGCCCGCTCATCTTAGCAAGTAAAGGGGTCTCCAGGCGCCTCCTCCCTGGGGCCTGCACACGCCCGTGCACAGCTCTGCGAGCCAGGGCACACAGAGACACTATGTGGCTTTTCTCTGCCTTAAGTATTTTTCTTCTCTTACCATTTGTAAAGTCCCACCCGGTTCCTTGAGCCCGGAGAAGAGGACGAAGATCTATGCAGAGCGTGGACTTTCTGTAGAGCCCTTTCTTCTTGGCACAGGCCTGAAGGGACCCCTGGAAATGATGGTGGGGGCTCAGTTTACTCAGAACACCAGCTCTCCCTCATCTGTGCCCTTGCCTCTTCCCGCCCCCAGAAAGGACTTCAGAGAGGCCCCCGCAGCTGCCCTGACAGTGGGCACACCTTGTTTTTGCTTTAATAAATCCCACCATGAACTCTGCTGCTCGGTGTCTGGTCAGCAGCTCCTGGGAGCGCAGAGGAGAAAGCGTCCGCGTACAGAGTGAACACGTGTAGAGCTTAGCTGGGAGGCGATTCGCCAAGTGAGGGTTTTTTCCCCTTTCCTTTTCAGAAAACAAGTTGCCGTTGCCTCATTTGGTGGAGATGCAGTGCAGTGCACTTTTCTACCTATCCCCCAAAGGGAAGTTTGTATTCTTTTAAATGAAACCATTTTAAAAGCAGAACTCAAGCTTAAAATGATCCAAGGTTCTCCCGAGTTCTCAGAAGGTGTAGATTTATTTACTATAGTTAAAACATAATTAGTTCTCAGGGGACAGTGTATCTTTTAAACGGCTTTATTGCCACCATATTGGTTTTCTGAATAATCAGAAACTTCTGTTATGATTATGTTCTGGGGTTCGAACAGAAATGCACTGTAAGTGGAAACAAATGTCAGGAATTGTTAGTTGTCACTTGAAGAAGGGACACCACATCAGAAAGAAGTTGATGGGATATTCGGAAGAAATATAGTGTAACAACGTCTTAAATAAACTGGATAGCAGCTCAGGCAGGCACCCGTGGCTCCCCCTCCTCAATCTTCCCAGAGGCTGGGAGTGGGGTCTGGTCCCTGGAAAGCCGGAAGGTGGCCTTTTTTACCCACAGACTCACAAAAGAGTGTAAACAACGTTCCCCACCTTGCGCCGAAGGACCTCCTGCCCGAGTCCCTGTTCTGGCTGACCAGTCTTTCCCACCGTTTGCAGGTTGATGTTTGAGATGCCGCAGGAAATGGGTTTAATAGCCATCGCAGTCCGCCAAACACAGGGCAAAGGTCAGTCATCGTTTGTTGTCGTTTGTGTTGTGTCTGTTTTCTAAAATCTGACTCTGGTGGCCGGAGCGTGGATAGATGGAGCATCCCTATCCACGGGCGGCTCCAGGTAGAAGTCATTTGTTTTCTTGCCCCACCAGCCCCACCCACCCCGCAGATTGAATGGAGGAAGAGGGAGTGGAATTGATCAAGAAATTGAGCCTTAGTAGAATTAAAGCATTCTCTGAAACTGAGATGTTCATTAATCACCTGACATCTGCTTGTGGTGATTTTAACACTCTGTTACCTACATCTTGTAAATCCTTCTTTCTGACACAGTCTAGGCATTGTAGTTGGTGACTCCTAACTGTGTTCCAGAGATGCTTATTTTCCTGAGGGCTCTCTGTGGGGCTCTGTCCCTCCGGAGGGTCACGGGAGGCGCCTCTCACCTGCCAGCCTCTTCCCCAGCTGGCACTGCAGTTTGTGTGCAGGGAGCAGTGCTCATTCGCAAAGTGCCCCAGAGAAGCAGAGGGCTGCTCAGAGCTTCTGCCTCCTGCTGACTCTCGGGGGCAAGAGCCCACACACTCCCAGAAGCCACTGTGCCAGGCTGAGAGCAGATTGCGGAGTCGGCGGTCCTGTGGGAGGCACTCAGCCCCTGTCCCTCCCCACCCCCAGCCAGCGCCAGGCTGACCCACAGGCGCTTTTAACTGTCAGGCTCTTATGCCTTTTTCAGAAGCAGCAAAGGAATGAGGAATACAGTTTTATGCTTCTTTCCCTTAAACATTTCTTTTGAACACAAGGAGAAAAAAATTTTCATTTTACCAAAAGCTGTGGGACTCGATATGGTGGTTAAAAAAAGAAAAACTTCAATTAGCTGTATCTCCTATTTCAGGGATCACCTTTAAGTTCAGCTTCCTTTTTTTAAGTAACAGTGAGATATAATTCGCATGCCATACAGTTCTCCCATTTGCAGTGCATAGCCGTCTGGTTTCTACTACACTCGGGGTGCTCTGTGGCTGTCACCGCGGCAAGAACCGCTCTGCAAAGGGGCTTCCGGGAGCTCCCCCGGACCAGCGCAGATCTGGCTGGCTTCCCCGTCTCGGTTTGGCCCGTGTCGCCTTAGGGCAGGAATCTGTGTGAGAGGGGTGCCCTGTCACTGTGAGGCTTTGGATCATCCAGGCACGAACGGTACGCTCCCGGAGTCAGACGCTCCCGGAGTCAGACGCTCCTCGAGGAGGAGAGCTTTCAATTTCCAAAAGCTGCTCTGTCACTGAGTTAACCCCAGAACATCCACACGGCACCACCAGCCTGGGTTTTTTCAGGGGGGGACATGTGTTTAGCATGTGGCTCTGAGTCCTTGGACCCCTTTCCTGGTACAACATGCCAGTTCCCCGGGGGGGGGGCCTGTCTTCCAGGGCGAGGAAGGAATGTGTGGCTGAGCCCCGTGGGATGCGCCCTCTTCACGCTGCTGGTCTCCGTCCCGCTGAGGTCGCCGCTGGGGCAGAGGATCCCGTTTGTCCAGCACCTGATGTCCCTGGCTGTGGTGGAGGCGGTCAGGTCTATCCCGGGGTACCAGGTATGTGCGGTTGCCTCCCCTCCTGTCCCCGCTCTGCGTGCAGATGGCTCGGGCTGCCAGTAGCTCGCGCCTGCGCGGTTGCTGCATGCAGAGCTTGGCTGCTCTCTGCAAAGCGGCATCAGCGTGCCCGGGGCTCTAGCAGCACTGCTGGGTTTTACAGCTGCTTCAGGCTCGCCAGGGTGCCTTCCCCGGGCTCCCCGCTCTGACCTGTTGTCAAACAGCCTGGTAAGGGGGCGAGACTTTTTTTTTATTTTTCCATCAAAGCACGTTGGACTGGATGGGGCTATTTGTGTTTTCTGGTGAGAAGGTTTATTTTATAGACCCCCAGAATCCTTCTCACTTCCCAGCTTCATTACCACATCCTGTACTCAGCAGAGCCATGCTTGTCCGCAGTGGTTTGAGTTCAGTGTGCAGGTGTGTTTGGGACCTCTGTGCCCGTTTCGCCGTTGCTGTTGGATGCTTTGGTGTCAGTTATTAAGAAGAAAAGGAAAAGGGATCAGTTAACACAGTCACTGAAAGCCTTTTCTCCGGTACCTGGCTTCGACCTACCATATCCCCTTTTTCACTTTTCCAGGAGGAATTCCATACGGCTATAAAAGCGGGGGTGTCCCCCGCCTTCTTCCCTCCTGTAGCTCTTCTTTCTGTCAGGCTAAAACCGGGCATCGCATTAATTCTGAGGGAACATGATGAACTCAGGGCTCTCAGAAGAGGCCTCTCGTCCAAGTCTAACAGAGAAGCAGAGCCCGGACCCCGCTAGCTTTTCCATGGTTTCAATTTTGACCTCACGGCCTCACTTGTGAACCTGGTGAGCATTCCGTGAGTGCCCGCGAAGTGCGAAGGCCATGCCAGGCGCTGGGGCCTCAGGAAGGGCACTGGGCAGCTCGCCCTCAGCAGCTCAGGTTGGGGGGCCCCATCCCCCTTAACACACTCCCACCCAAGTCCATATCCTGTTTCCACAGCCCTTCAGCTCACCCGCAGGCTGTGCCTTTTGTTTGGATTTGCATTTTATTCACTTGCACAGTACAGCAGGAGGATCATCAGAGTTCACCACGTCTAGTTTGCCTTTCCTGTGTTCTTCACTATGGCCCCAGTTTGCCCCCAGCCAGAAACCACCAGCAGGACACAGATCTTGCTGGCCTCCCCAGACCAGAGGCAGCATCGCCGTGATGCTTGCCGTTCTTTCCAGAACCTGCTCTTGCTGCTGCTGTTTGGTCTATCGGTCTGTGAGGTCCCCGCAGGCTCCTGCAGCCCTGTCCCTACCCCACTCCTGCTCCTCTTCCAGGGGTTCTGATCGCCTGGGGGCCAAAGGCCATTCCCTAAGCCCTCAGTCCGCATGCTGCTCCTCCCGTAACACCTGTGGCACTTCCAATGTCTCAGCTTCTCTCGCGGTGTCTCCACGGATCTCTCCAAAGCAGAGTTATTTGAGCTCCTGGCCTCCTACAAAGTAACCAGCTCTCTGAGCACAGGAATAGAGCCCAACCCAGCATTTGATATATGGGGCCCATGACAGCCGTTTGAATAGATGGTCAAGAACATGGAAAATAAGCACGTGCGGCCCTCCTCTTCATCATGGACTGGATATCACCATTTACCTGCGTGACAGCCCAACATTGCAGGAGCCGCATCCTTAACTAAGTCTGTCTGAACACAGGGAGTCACACAGGTGCCTGAGAGCAGGGCTGGCGCAGAAGTGAGCGCCACCCCGGAGGGCGGAGCCTGTGCTCCCAGCAGTCCCAGGAGGCAGGTGAGGAAGAAGAAGGGAACTACCGGAGTAACCAAGACCAGTCTCCACATGACCCATTTTCTAGACCAGCATTTCTCTGCCTTGTCACCACGGACGCTTGGGCCCCCACATCTTGGTTGGGGACCATCCTGTACATTGTAGGACGTGGAGCAGCATGTCTGGCCTCTACTCACCACATGACAGCAGGACTCCCTCAAACTGTGACGAGCAGAAGCGTCTCCCCATATTGGCCAATGTGCCCTGGGGCGGGACACCTTGTCCCCTCCACTGAGAATCCTATTCTGGACAGAGACGAACTAGCACGCTGCTTATCCATTATGGAGGGTGGCGGACACCTGCATTTTATTTATACTTTTGTTCTTTTGTGTCCCTGCCTTTCCTCTCTCAGCCTAGAATGTTCTACCAAGGCAGGAAGGCAGGTGAGCTTGAACAGAAACATAAGAGAAACACGTTCTCAGCGGCCAGGATGAAAGGAAAGCCTGCTGAGGGGAGAGAAGGCCTTCGAAGCGATGGGCTGCGGTGTGCATTGGGCGGTCCAGAACGTCCGCGGGGGTTCTGTAAACTGAGACACAGGTGTCGTTTTCACCAGTAACGGTATTGATTTGGATATTTTCGAGTACGTCAGTTATCTCCCCCGTGGTATCTCATTGATTGTTCTCAGTCAATGTCTCAGTTGGATCACTATCAACTTCAACTGGTCTGCCTGACTGTGCAGCATCATCCAGTGAGAACTCTCCAGCACAAAACTTCACAAACCACTTTTGACACTTTTGAAATACACTGTACGCATTTTTATTTTGCATTTCAGTTGCGTTTTTACCTTTCTTGAATAATAAAAAATAATATGCGAGAAGTGTTGCTTATTTTTTCCATCTTCAATATTAAAATGGCTCCACAAAAATTGGCCAATTTTGATGTTTCTTTAACTGCACACTGATATGACACCCATCACAATACAGTCTAACAAAATTGTTTCGAATGAAGTTAAAGACAACTAAGTGCCACTAGAGCCATCGTACGGAAAAAGCCAAGCAAACTTTTTGGCCAACCCGATAGCATGGAGCACCCAGGCTTGGCGTCAGAAAGCCCTGGGTTTGAAGCCCAGCTCTGCCGCGTCCTAGTGACTTGACCTCAGGAAACCATGCAGTCCTTTGTGCTTCCATTTCTTCCTCTATTCAACAAGGTGACACTATAGCAAACATAGGGCTTTGGTAGAGGTGACATACAACCAGTGCTGCGAAGGGGCTTGGTGCCAGGCCTGCCCCAGGGCAGGAAGAGCCAGCGCCAGGGCACTGGGAGGCTATCAGCCACTCTTTGGTCTCCGTCACCCTCGGAGTGGTCCACTGTGACCGGGGCACAGGCCGAGCCGCCCGGGGCACAGCCTTCAGGAGCAGTCCACTTCCCTGTCCTGAGCTGACTGCTGGCGCTCTTCAGGGCCTTCTCTGTTGGCTCGTTGAAGCGAGCCTCTCCCTGTGCCCTCACAGTGCTCTGCTGGAGCCACGTGGGCCCGCCTTGTGTGACCTGGCTAACCGAGGGCCGGAGTTCTCACTTGCGCCCGGGCTCCTTGGGCCCCAATAGTACTGTTTTCTCCCTGCCCCCTGCCCATGGTGGTGCACCTGAGATAATGAACTTAGTTCACCAGAGAGGCACCTTCAGAAAGTGTTTCTGATGATGATAAACAGCGATGGGGGTGGGGAGAAGGATGGGATCAACGCCGGATCAATTTTTTAGGTCTCTCCCCTTCTGGCCCCAAGAGGTGCTTTAACACCGGCTTCTCCCAAAGGAGTGATTATCATTCTGAAAAAAAGGAGAGGATGTGACCCTGTGTTCGAGAGTACTCTGTTGACCTTCCTTGTAGCTGGATGACCTCAGCTGGCCCCTGTGGGTCCTGTGACTGCCTGAGTGACTAACATGCAGGTTCTCCTTTAGGATATCAACTTACGGGTGAAGTGGCCGAATGACATTTATTACAGTGACCTCATGAAGCTCGGTGGAGTTCTGGTCAGCTCAACACTTGTGGGAGAAACATTTTATATACTTATTGGTAAGTGTTTGAAGCCTTTCCCCAGCACTTTCAGGTTAATACAAATAAACATGTTTGTCCATGGCTATATTGGGGGAGTAGTGAATTGTCCTGTGAATCACTTTTGCTTTGAGTCTTGTCCGTGTAGAATACAACATGTGTGCAAAACAGGCAGAGGGGTAGGAAGTGCTTCCAGGGGTGAGCATTCCTGTCTGTGGCCTTGAAAACCAAATGGGCTTCGCGTCAAACACATTTTCTTACACCTTCCCACGCCCCTGCTTCTTGTCGAATTAGAAAATAACGACCATGAGATACCACCTCATAACCTGTCAGAATGGCTACTATCAAAAAGACAAGAAACAGCACGTGCTGGCGAGAATGTGGAGAAAAGGGAGCCGTGGTGCACTGTTGGTGGGAACGCAGAGTGGGGCCGCCACTGTGCAGAGCAGTGTGGAGATACCTCAAAAAATTAAATACAGAATTACCATGTGACCCAGCAATTCCACTTCTGGGTATTCATCCAAAGGAAACGAAGACACTAACTCAAAACAAAACGCATGCTCCCTGTGTTCATCGCAGCATTTACAGTAGGTCACCTGGACATCAGGGAGAGGCCAGCGGCCGGGTGACAGGAAGCGTGCGCCCCTGTGTTGGGAGTGCCAGCTGAAGAGCACAGGGCTCAGCCTGCGGCTCTGCTCCCCGCTGGCAGCACGGCCTGGCACGCAGCCCCTTGCCCCCAAAGCTCCGTTTCCCATCTTCACGTGAATGGCTGGGCTAGACACAGAGATGTGTAGTTCTTTTTTTGTAGATGCAGAAGTTCTTAAGTAGAGTCCACAGATGCTGAGGAGGCCTGGGTGAGCCAAGGAATGCAGTCAGCGTGAGGGACACGCAGCATTTTCCTGTGGGGAGAATCCATAGCTTTCAGCAAATCCTGAAGGCCATGGGAGGGGGCGAAGAGGGTGTCTGACGCAGAAACATTCAGAGTCCCCAGGGGGGCTGCTCTCTGGTCCTTGGAGGGACTCAGCCTATGCTGACAATAGTGAGTGTTGCTAGTTCCCCCTCACTTTTAATTGGTGACTACTGAAATTAGTGACAACAAAAGAGTATTTTCAGCACCGTGCACACTTAACCCCATGCCTTAGCTCTGTAGGTGCTGTGGGGGTGTGTGGTGCTGAACAAGTGAGCTGGCAACCCCTTGCAGATTCTGCCCTGTTGCAGGAGTTGTTTGTTTTCTCCAGGTGTAACTTACGTTGCTCTATATTTTAATAGGCGATATATTAAAAAAAAAAAATTGCCGAGGCCAATCAGTGCTTCCCTCTACACTGAAATGGATCAGAACACAGCCAAGAGCACCATTACTGTAAACACCGCTGTTATGTGCGAAGAGATTTTGGGGGGTTGTCTTCTCAGAGGCCCCCGAGAACATGATCGTCCCGCTGCTTAGTTCTCGTGGTATTTCACTGCTGAGTGAAGACCCCTTTGAGGCTGATTCAGGGCCCTGCTGAAAATGCGGGCTCGGCTTCTCTGAAGACTCGCCGCTCAGGAGAGGGTGGTGGTGTTGAGTAACAGCAAAGATAAGCCTATTCTGGCCCCGGAGCTGGTAACTCGCTTTCCTGAAGCCTCGGTCTGGGAGCCTCTGAAGAGCCAGTGGACATGGGTTGGCCCCTTGCCAGCAGCATAAGCCCAGCACCAAAGACATCCAAGGATAAAGTATTAAAAGATGTGTTCTAGGGCTATACCGTGGCGAGCATTTGCAATCTCTGAATCCAGAGTTTACTCCTTAAGACCTGAATAAAATTCTTTATTTTCAAGCATGTGTTCTGTTATTCAAGTAGGAAAAGAAAGAAGAGACTGGTCTGAGCTGCAGCTCTGGGCTAGACCACACGCTCATTGTTTTAAAAGCTTTGTCCCGTTCTTGGCTTGTGTTTACTTGCACCCGAAGCGGCTCGCTGTTTTCCAGCCCGTTGGCAGTAAGGTCGGGGTGACCCTGGCCTGATGAGGGTGCGAAAGCAGGAAGAGGAGGAAGATGGACTCAAAGAAGCATGTCATGCTGTTTGTTTGTTTTTTATTATTTTTTTATTGTTCAATTACAGTTGTCCCATTTGCCCCCCATTACTCTCCCCTGCCCTGCCCCCCACTCCCCACAGTCAGTCCTCCTGTGTCCTTGTCCTTGGGTCCTTTATACTTGTTCTTGACTTGACCCTCCCCCTTCTTTCCGCTGTTACCCCCGTCCCCCTCCCTTCTGGCCACTGTCAGTTTGTTCTTCTCTTCCACCTCTCGTCTCTGGTTCTGTTTTGCTTGCTTGTTTGTTTTGACACGTCATTCTCTAAGTGGGTGGGGACAATTAAACCCAAGAGGAGGACTGGGAAGCAGGAAGTTGACAGTAAAAGTGGTACCTTTCTCCAGGTGGTTGAAGGAACGTGTGATCGTGTCCATAGGCTGAGCTGCTCCTGTGTTCCAGCTGTTTGTTTGTTTGTGTGTTTGTGACCAGGCTGTGGATTTAACGTGACCAACAGCAACCCCACCATATGCATCAACGACCTCATCGTGGAGTACAACAGGGAGCACGGGGCAGGGCTGGCGCCCCTGGGGCCCGACCGCCTCATCGCCAGAGCCGTGACCAGGCTGGAGGGCCTGATCGACAGATTCCAGGACGAAGGGCCGAACAGCGTGCTTCCGCTTTACTACAAGTACTGGGTGCACAGGTCAGTGCTGGACCGGCTGCGTGCCGCCCAAGCCCTCCGCCCGGCCATGTCCGGTGTCTTAGGGTGGGACCCAGCCCTGGCCGAGGCAGTGAGTTTTTACCTCTGACAGAGAAACCGGGGGCACCGCCTTGAGCAAGTTAGCACCGCCACGTGTAACAGGGCCAGCTGGCCTGCCCTGCCTCTGGGTGGGGGCCACCAGGGAAGGCCACTTCCTGCCAGCACGTTTAAGGCGATTCTAAGTGTGAAAACACAGATCCAAATTGTAGAATATTTTGGATAACAAGGGGATTCCCCCGGCAGCAGCAGTAGCCTTGCCTGGGAACCTGTTGAGAAAACAGATTCCTGAGTCCTGCCCTGGACCTCCTGAATCAGAAGCCTGGAGCTCGGGGCCCAGCCTTGCACTCTACCGAATGCCCGGGGAAGGTGGGGCGGGGGTGGGGCATGCACCCACACAATCCTGAGAATGAGGAGCACTGACGTGTACACCAACAGACCTCTCCCCTTCGAAAACGCCAGTGTCTTAAACGAGAAGGTGGGCGCTTTTTGAAAGTTAAGAGGCATGACAGCTAAATGCACTATGTGATTCATAATTAGATCCTAGACAGGAGGAAGTAGCCACAAGAATATTAATGGCACCACGTATCAGGTAATGTTAATGAATCAGGATTGGGTTTTTGAAGGGTTACAGTAGCATTATGGTTTTGCAGGAGATTGTTCTTAGGAGATACAGGATGAAGATTTAAGTATAAAGTGTCATGATGTTTGCAACTTATAAAGTGTGTGTGTGTGTGTGTGTGTGTGTGTGTGTGTGATCAGTTTGTGCAACTTTAAAGGGAGAATATGAGGTTCATTGTACTATTTTTTCAACTTTTCTATAGGTTTGAAATCCTTCAAAATAAAAATGTTGGGGGAGGGAAATTTTGTACTTTTGAGCTGTTAATAAGGACGTAACTCAATTGGTACATTTGGAAAATATTCAAAAGAAAGAGGAGAAGGGGTTTATCATGTAGCTGATGCTACCCAACTTTATTTCATAAGATGAAACCTTTCAGCTCAGCTCCTTTTCCCCGAGCCTCAGCCAAACACCTCGAGCGTTGCAGTCTTTCTTGAAATTGCGAGGGGGAGGAGGCGGTGCCGGGTGCCAGTCCAGACAACCAGTTGGTAGGAGAAGCAGCTCCTCTCTCCCTGTTGGATTGACCATCACCCCGGTGTTTCTAGTTGTCACCCAGACAGTTCCCTCTGCCCGTGAGTGTCAGAGCTTAGGCTGGAGGCACCTCGTCTCACGGGGCCCCAGCCCGTGGCGGCCCACGTCCCTTCCTGTAATGGGGCACGGCGTAACCAGTCGCCCCAGACGGCTGCATTACATTCCCTGACTCTCCCTGTGCTTCCTTCTCAGCGCCCAGCAAGTCCACCTGGGAAGCGCGGAGGGGCCCAAAGTGTGGATCGTCGGCCTGGATGATTCCGGATTCCTTCAGGTTCACCAGGAGGACGGCCAGGTGGCCACTGTGCATCCGGATGGCAACTCCTTTGATATGCTCAGAAACCTCATCATCCCCAAACGGCAGTAGGACCCACGCAGGAAGACGGTGCGGGCCGTGGCAGCGGGTCGTGGCAGCGGCTGCAACGACTCCGGACGGACCCCTGGGTGGACTCCCGGGTGGACCCCTGGGCCGACCGGCAGCAAGCATTCCCATCTGCTGTCTGCCTGTGCCTCACCCATGGAGCTCAGAAGCTAATTTAAAGGCGTAGGTGATTTTTTCTCCCTCCAGTTACCCTGTTAGTTCTTTAGGTTTGTGCCTTCAGTTGTCATTGCACTTGGTTTTGGAAGATGGTCTGGGTGGGGGGTTGACAAGTGGAAAAGATTTCATTCAGGTAAAGCCCTACAGTAGGTGTGACATTTTTCTCCCCTCTTGGGCTTGAATGGGTGTTTATTGCTCCCCGACCCCAAACTCCTTTTTACATGGAAACCGCAATGGAGTAATTCAGAAATTTCCCAGTATTGGAGACCTTTACCCCTAGACTATTAAAAAGCAAATCAAAGAAAGCCCTGGGGTCCTCGGTGGCGCAGCGAAGGTGTGGCAGCCGTCATAAGCCCCCAGGGAGCAGTTTCCTGCTGCAGCAGGCTTCACACTTAATCCTCGTTTTATTTTTGTGTTAATGAAGAAAAGAGAAGGTCAACTTCTGAGCGTTCCTCTTGGCCTGGTGGTTTGTGGTCCAATGACAATGACGGTGGCCACAGAGATGCCTCCAGATGGGACAGCCGCAATGACCTCACAGAGGAAATCAGTTAATTACTTTGACTTTACTTTAGGAGCTCTCCTTTCATAAGTTTTACTGCCTATTCTAAAGGGATGGGATCAAGGTCAAGATCCTTAATGGACTGATGAGGTGACGCTGGGTGGGGGTGGACAGCTGGAGGCGAGGGCGTGCTCGCTCAGGACACGCCAGGGAGGACTTGGAACTTCCAGGTGCGGGCGCTGCGGGTGGCCCCGGGGAGGCCGACACACCCAGAACGCAGGGGCGCAGGGCTCTGCGCTTTTGAGTCGTCATTTTGTGCCCCCTGCCTCTGATAGTGACAGGACAGAAAGTGCCATTGGTACGGAATACCATGATATAAGAGGGAGGGAGGGTGTGTGCGCGCACGCGCGTGTATGAGAGCGAGATGCGCGCACTCTTTAGAAAAGATCTTCAAAATCTGATATCCCAAAAGTCCCCATCGAAGAACAAAAGAAAGGAAGCCTTTTGATATACATTTGCTATTTCCAGATGTACTCCATGCTTTTTCCATGTAACTCCTATCTCTATTGAACTTGAGAATTATACACATTACTTTTCAGCCTTAAAAGGCCAATTTTTGCCCACTTTTCTCTCTTCCTGCCAGTCCCAACTGAAATTAGTGGAAAGAAAACTTGATGGAGCTCTCAGCTTTGAACAAAATCGCCTTATTGTGCGAGCAGCACCATCTTTACGCCGCGCTTAGCCGGTCAGGCTAATTCCAGAGACTGCGGTTCCAGTATAAAATCAGCCTGCCTTCACGCTGGGCACAGGCAGCCCCATAGGAAGAGGGAAGAAAGAACGTTTAGTCAAGTACACCAACTCAATATGTTTTTTGGAAACTGAACTTTTTAAAAAGAACTTCAAAAGTAATTTTTGTAACTAAGGCTTCCATTAGAATTATTACCCTCTGTCCACCCCCCACCCCACCCCTGCTAAAGATCACTCTGTCCTAAACGCCCAAGTCTTCTGTTAAGAGTCGGTCAAAAATTTAAATAAAAGCCTGCACCACCCCACAATTACAAAACGCACTCACCCCTGAGAGGGCATCTGCAAAACATCACCAGGAAGAAAGACCTCAGGCGCATGCTGCAAGATTCATTTCTCCAACTTGGTAACACAAGGCAAGCCATCTCTCAGAGCTGCCATCATTACTTTGTGCATTTCTTTGGGAGGTTATTTAATGAAAAACATGCTATGGTTTGTTTTAAGCTGAAGTCCCATTCTAGACAGTTCTGCTCTGGGAAAAAAATGTTATCATTTCATTTCCTTTCTGTAAATTAAAACGAATGAAGTGCGGCCACGGCAAGGCAGATAGAGCCGTTGCGGGCCCTGCACTCTGCCTCCGCGTTTGCAAGGCTGCCCTGTGACGGTGTCCAGTTGTCTTGAGACAAAGTGCGCTTGAAGCAGATGCTGCATTTTATATAAACCCAGTTTTGCCTCAGATGAACCAAAGACTTGAAATTCTGCCTCATACAGAGCAGTTAAATAAGGGTGTTTCGCCTGAGGAGCCCTGAGCCTCGGGGAACCCACCCCAGCCACGCACACGCCAATTTGGAGTGGTTGTGCACCCAGAAGTCTTATCTCCAGGACATCTTAAAGTCTCGGCAGAAACTGCGCGTCTCCGTAATCTCTAAACCGCAACAGCTGAACTAAAGATCCTTGTGTGCTTTCAGGACACAGAATGGTCCCCCAGTTTGTAGGCTGTGACTTGAGCACCTAACAGGTTATGTAAAAGGCAGGACATCTCTTTGGAGCTGAAAGCAGATTTCAGGAAACCCCAGGGGAAGTGCTGCAGAAATAGGACACAGCTATAGCTGGGCTTCCTGTGGCCCGACGGGGCAGTGGCTGGCAGGGAAATCTCAAATCCCACAGGATGTCAGAAAGGGGCCCTGGGCAGATCCCGGCAGTGTTCCCAGGGCGTGGGCCCGAGGCGAAGGATTTGTGTCCAGGATGAAGCGGTGGGGATTGCCGCTGTGGCAGCACGCGCGCTGTGACGGGATGGGTGAGGGGTGCGTGCATGGACCGAGGGGGGGCACGCCCAGCCCCCCACGCACATCCCAGAGTCTGAGAGCTAGGAGGAAAGCCAGCCTCACCCAACAGATTCAGGATGCAAAAGGAAACACTGTAGGCTTGCGTTCTGCACGTCTGTCTGCTACTAGTAGGCCAGAGAGGGAGGGCCTTTATGCTGCGTAATGACTATGCATATTTGAAATAAAGTGGCAACCTTTGCATTTTTAACTTTTCAAAGAATTATGTCTGAAAATTAATTAAGCCAATGCCTATAAAAAGCAAATCTACCAAAATAAACTTTAAGACTTTCTATCCAGTTTGAGCTCATTGTTATTTTTACTGTTTCATTTTTAAAAATAGGCAACCACTTTTGGTTACAGTATTTTTATTCATATTTAAACATTTTTACAAAATAAATAGTTTTACAAGGTAAGGAATATGTATTTCTAAATATTAAGGAGCTGGTGTTTCATTCTTTTTATTTATTTTCAACAAATGTATTATGCGTCATACAACAGAGAAATTTTCTTATTCAAAAGAATGAAAGCAAAACCCAAAAGTAAAAAAAAAAAGTTTGAGAAATAAATTTAATATAACAACGTAATGTGTTTTTTTAATTTAAAAATAAATTTAATGTAACAAATTAAGGAAAAGATTTTATTCTGGTAGAATTTTTTTCTTTTGTGAAGCTGCTTGATTTTTTTCTCTTGACAGTTTTAAAATTTCAACCTTATATATCATACTTAAGTTGAGGAACAGCTTGAATAATGCATTTTAGATCGAGGGCTGGGATTCACTAACATTTTAAGCTACCGTAATTTTCCGGCGTTTATTTGAAAATGTTTTCATTCCATCTTATCTGTAGCAGACCCCAGTCTGCCTTCACTGTCTTAGAGTTGCAACGAATGACAACTTTGATAGACTTCATACAGGAGGCACTGACATAGGAACCCCTCCTACCCTAGGGGTCCAGGGGAGGAAGACATGGCCCGGCAGACTTTAAAGGGAGGCGGGCAGGGGGTGCACGCTGGGGCAGAAAATACGGGCTCCTGCGCAACTCCTCAGAGCAGCACCGCTTCACACCCTGTTCACTCCTCTACAAAGGTATGAATGGAATGGCTTTTCTAGAAAGGCCTGCCATGAACATAAAGGAATTCCTTTCCCTGGGAGGCCCCGCCAGTCTTGAACTGGGCTTATTTCTCAAATCTATTCGATCTGGCGTTTCTGTTAACATGTTAGGACACACTGTATGTTTTTTGTTTTTTTTCGTATGAGGTGTATTTATTAAAATGCTTCTGCTTCCCCTGCCAGACCCACACAGGAGTCCAGAAGCAATAGCCCCAGCTTAAATGTGCAGACCCTTCAAGATGGAGGCAACAATATTAGGTCGCCATAGTAACTGCTGTTAACTTTGCACTGAGCTGACCACCCGAGAACCCGCTTGCCTAGGACTCTCCCTTCGTGTCCCAGGCTGTGAAAACGGGGATGTTTGTTTATACAGGAAGCCTTCTAACACATTTCATTTTCCAAGTACATACACACTTTGTTAAGCTTGTTATCATTTGTAAATCTGTAACAATCTTCGTTCTTCATAGTAACCTTTGATCTTAAACTGCTCTGAAGCCTCTTCTGGTTTGTGTTTATTAAGCACGGCCCCCAATAGTTAATAATAAGGTAGACACAAAAGCATTTTGCTGTACTTTATTGGAAAATGTCAGGTGATATACCTCCTGCTCATCACACCTGCACCTTCCGGGAATTGGTTAAATTATGAGACTCGTGAGCATGAAGGTCATCCCTCAGGCTTACCTTACGTGCATACGCCCTGAAGGGCTGCTAATGAGGGGGCCAAGGGCACTCGGAGGTGCACGGTCTGTTCAGATGACCCAGCCCCCTGGCTGTACAACAGGTGCTCCTGAATTTACAAATTTCATCTTGTACCATAAGGCAACTGACACCTGCTAGGGGAGGGGGCAGGTCTCTTAGTGACGTGGGGTTGGTGACAGAGCGTCACATTTTTGCAAACAGTCCATGAAGGTGCACTTTGATTGCAGAACAATGAGTCCAACACACGTGAAAACCCTCTTCACTCAGAAAGATGGCATTGCCTCAAAGTAAACCGTTTTTGAACAATCAGCAAAGTGGAGTGTTTATAGTGTGGAGGAAATCAGAAGCTGGTGGATCAATGCATTAATCCAGAGCAAAGATATGACTTTTAAATGGTCAAATCTTGAAGTAAAAACATAAAAATAAAAAAAATTTGTAAAACACTGCTGGTGCTTTATAAAAGATTTGTGTTTCCCTGTTACACACACGAGACGTTCGCATGGAGTTTTGCTGAAGACAACGTATACGCCATTTTCATGACATCCCTCCAGCATGTTTCCTTCCGCGCAGCGCAGTCCACCGACGAGATTCCATATTGCACATGCACTTTATTAGCACTACTTGTAGCAAACGCAAACCTGGGGGGTTGCAGGGCCGTGTGGGCCAGAGGGATTTTGTCCTCCACCTCGGCATGAGCAGCCAATCGCAGTGGGCACCTAAACCATCCACATGTCCATCTCATAAAATATCTGGAGATACATATATATATATATGTATGTATATATATATACACACACACACACACACACTTTTGGCATTTAATGCTTATTCGGTATTCTATTTTTGGTGGTGTCAAGAATTCGGAGGGGTTAAGAGGGAGAGCTTTTGAATGTACTTGAGGAGCATGCTCGTCCCCTTAGTCTCAGCTTGTTGATTTGTGTATTTGAGTTAAATTAAAAACTCTTAATGAGACTCATGCATGACTTTTAAAGACAGAGGAACTGGAATAATCACCTTCTGCCTGAACCTAAGACTCGGACCCGCCTCTGCGTGCCAAAATGTGCCCTCCAGCCCCTGCCCTGCACGTGTGCCCGGATCGGGGTGCTTTCCTCCATGAACGTGGAGGCCATTTCCGGAGCCCAAACTCCAATCCTCCATCGGGACCGGTGAGCATCCACGACGCGGCAGGGCGCGCCACCCTGACGTCAAGGGGAGGAAACCAAGTGTCCCCAGACATGGGGTAGAGTGAGGTCACACGTGGGACGGTTAGCTCTGCCCTTTGGAAGAAAGCCCGGCTCTTGCAGAACAGAGCTCAGGCGGCCCCTTCTTGAGCGCGTCTCCATCTTCTACACCGGCCTTTATGGCATCTACGGTAAAAATCTAAAAGTCGGCTGCGGAGTTCTATTAAAATAGTCGTCTCTGTATAAATTAATTTAATTCGTGCCTATACAGCTCGCCACTCTGGACTCGGCTGGACGTCATGAAACCGGAACCGAAGAGGCCTGGCCTATGGCTTCTCGCTGCGGGGGCCCCGGGACGCCGCGGCCCGGCCAGGCCGGGTCACCTGCCGTGGGTGATGATGACCGAGGCGCCCAGGTAGTGCGGCAGGGGCGCGCCGGGCGGCGAGCCGGCGGCGGCCGGGGCGGGGCCGGGGCCAGGGCCGGGGGGCCGGGGCCGCAGCGCGCCGGGCGCCGCCTCGGGGGCGCTGGGGCCGCCGGCGAGGGCGGGCGGGGCGGGCGCCGCGCCCCCAGCGGCCCGCGCCGGGCCAGCACGCGGTGATAGTTGAGCAGCACGAAGGGCAGCTGCGCGGGCGCGCCCGGGGGCTCAGGGACCGGCGGCGCGCAGCACTCGGGCGCCGCGCGGGCCAGCGCCAGCCGCGCCCCTTCCCGGGGGGCCTGGCGGGCGGCCTTGGCCGGGCCCGGCGCGGGCTCTTCGCGGTAGTGGCCGCAGCTCGGGAAGGCCGGCGGTGCGGTGTCCTCGCCGAACCTGCGCGCGGCGGCGGTGGCGGGCGCTGCGGGGACAGGCGACACGTTAGACGTCCGCGCGGGGGAGGAAGGGGATATGCCTCCCGCCACGGCTATCTAGGGGCCCGGGCGCCGCCCCCAGCCTCCCTTCGGCCACCGGCCGCCTGCCACCCGCGCGCTTAGTCCACGGAGCTGCCACTGCCCCTGCCTCTCGTGCGCCCCCGGCCCGCCTTGTCCAATCGCAAGATGCAATTTGAAATGTTCCAGTAGCCGCATTAAAGAGTGAGAAGCAGGTGCAATGAATGTTAATAATATACTGAATACAACATATCCAAAATATTATTTCAAGGTGGGATCAATATTTTAAAAGTATTCCTTGATTCTATCTGTGAACGCAGTGCGGACACAGCACATGTCGCTGCGCCCACCGCACCGCGCTGCTCAGTAGCCACGCTTGGCCAACGGCAGCCAAACCGGTCTGAGGGTGCCCTGGCCCTTGGGGGCTGCCCTGCCCCCGCCAGCCCCGATCTCCCCGCCTCTCCGGGCTCCCTGCAGGGTTGTCGCAACGGAAGTAACCGCCTTCACTAGGTAGGTGCCTGCCGCCCCTTAGCTCCCTATGTTTCTTACCTGAGGACTTTAATATCAAAACCACTAGGAAGTTGATCATAAATTGCTCCAAATTAGCACCTTCGGTTCATTTTTTACCAAGTGTGTGATAAATGAGGTGGCTATTAACCTCTCACTTTCAAAATTGCCATTAAAAATATAAAAATGCTGTCTTGTATCACCAGCCAACTTCCACACACACGCAAAAATAATTCAGGTCACTCTCAACTGAATAATATTTTCAGCTGTTATCAAAACGCTTTGCCTTGTCTTTCCTCCCTTAAAAGTCGGGGAGCCCCTCCTTGGTTATTTGAGGGACCCAGTGCCCCGGCGGGAGTTGGGGATCCAAATCTGAGCAGTCGGTGGCCCCTGGGAGAGGCCCAGCTGAAGAGGCAGGGCGCAGCGCCCTGGCGGCCGGCACGTTCTTTTCTTAAATGGGCTGCTCCTGAAAACCCTGCCCTGGTGACACCCCAGGTTAGATTTCTCCCACACCCTCCACAGCCTTGTAAAGACGGTCAGAACACAGAGCAGGAGCTTCCCAAAGCAGCCGGAGGGGGGACGGACTCCCATCTGCCCCCAGCAGGAGAAAGGTGGGGGGAGGGGGCCCCAGGGAGCTCTCTCTTTAAGCGGGTGATTCTTTGCTGGGGCATGTGGCATTAGGTGGCATTTAGGGGCCCCCACAGGACATCCGCACCACCTTGATCCACCCTCTGAGCAGTAGCTGGGTCAGGCTGAAGCAGGGTGCATCTCTTGCAGCCTGTCCTCACCTCGCCTCTGTCCTCTGTCTGGAGTTGGCCCAGTGAGCAAACAGGAGTCTGCTGGGCCGGGGACAGCCGGTGGCACCTCCACAGAGGATCTCGGCTTGCCTGCCACCAGGAGGAGGTGGCTGAGGGGCCAGCCCTGTCTCTGTGCTATGGAACTGGCGTGTGCCCACCGGGCGCCACAGTGTGCCAAGTCGGCCGGGAGACGTATCCCATGGCTTATGATCCCATTCACAGATGAAGAAACTGAGTCCTGGCCTGGGGAGGGGAGCAGGGGTATGTTATCTGCCCCTGGTTGGTGAGTGGCATTTCTGTCCCTGAACCTATGAATTGCCACCAGTTTTTTGCACTTTGAAAAATGGCATGGAAAGAAAACCAACGCATTTTTGGGTGGAGCGGAGCTTGAGCCCGTAAAATCGGGGCAGCTGGGCCATTCTCAAGACAGGGAAGCCAGTGTTGAAAATCACTGTCTCCCTTTGCGGGAGCGAGCGAGGCCGGGAGTTGGAGGAGGGAGCTGACCGCCCAGCTTCCTGGGACTCCTGCCCACAGGGCGCACGGACCCAGCCCAGCCAAGAGCAGGAGAGCACAGCAATCCCTACTTAGAAGCGGGAAAAGGAAAAGTCTGCCCAGATCGTGGGGGTCCCCACCCCTTCACGCCAACGCGACCCACCTTCGTAGCTGGGCATGAGGCCGTGCCGCGCCGAGCTCACCGGGGGCTCAGAGAGGCTTTTAGCCGGAGATGGGCCGCTCGGCACGAGGGGGTTGGCATAGTGCCACTGGCACTCGGCACCGGCTGGCAGCGTGCTCAGGAAGAAGCGCGCCACCTCACACGGCGATCCTTGGGGCTGCCCGAACTTGGCTGGCAGCACTGGCTTTTTGCTACTGAAGACGTGCGAGTCCAGAGGGAAGTGTCCGTAATGGTAGGAGAAGGGCAGGCCGTAGGACGGGGTGTACAGCAGGTCGCCACCCTCCGCATGGAGCTGCTGCTCTGGGGGGGGCGCCGCGTCGGCCGGGGGGCTGGCCCTCCAGTTTCCCAGCTGGCCGCATTCCAATTTGTCCATCGGGAACGAGCCGTAGTGCTGCGCGGGCGAGAGGGGGGTGAGGGAGGCCTGCCCTCCGGCCTCACAGCGGCCAACCCTTCCCCTCCCCGGGCCGGCCGGCCGCCCTGGCCACCCCGAGAGGTCCCACTGGGAATCCCACTGGCCCCCGCCCCCGCCCCCGCCCACTGTGCAAACAGATCTCCCCGTCCCAAGCTGACACCCCCCCCCAAAACACACACACGGGCACCTGCCATTCCTGAGAGCTCACAAACTCAAGAAAGAGGGAAGATTTTCATTTTTAAAAAACGCTGTGGGAACGAGCGATGCCCCGGTGCTCGGACCCACGTCTGAGCCCACGAGCCTTCCCGGGGAGACCTGGCCAGGCCACCCCGATGGACGGATGGCAGGTCTGCACGTCCAGCTGTGTCCCCGTCAGGTGGGCAGCACGCCCCAGCAGGGCTTCACTTCACTCCGCGGGGAGCCTTCCGGGCCGGGAAACCCCGCTGGGCAACCACGTGCCCCACACCCCTGGGACAGAGGTCTGCTCCCCCCTCCCCTGCAGGGCAGGACATGTGTTACCTGCGGGGGGTAAGGGTTTGTTCTCAGCTTTGTCTTCATCTTCGTATTTTTGGGTTTAGCTAACTTCCTCGTTTCTTGTGAGGTCGACAAGGCAGCCCTCCAGGAACCCTGGGACTTGGATGTGGATACCTGGTCCAGGGACAGCTGCAGCTCCTTGTATTCAATGTCCCTGAGAGGCAAGAGTGGGACAGGCCGTGTCCAGCGGGCTGCCGAGGCAGAGCGGCCCCCCGGGCACCTCCCGCGAGCAAGGTCGCCCTCGACGCTCCAGCACGTCATTCCAGTGAGGCCGGTGAGGGTGGTGGGGTTTGAGAAAAGGACAGGTCGCCCTCATTATAGAAACCACCCTGCAGCCCCGGGCTCGGTGACCCCCAAACGCTGAGCCAGGGCAGTGTTATTCGGCAGAAACGAGGAGGGTGGGGTGGCTCTCTCTAATCCCACAGGGCCCTGAGCACATTTCCTGGGGACCCCACGGGCCACCAGGAAAGCTGCCGGGGTGAACGGGAAGGGCGGAAGCACGATTTGCCAGGGTGCCGCGGCCTGTCTGCTTCTCTCTCCATCCCAGGAAGGCTTGAGTCGGGGAGCCCCGAGGGTCCAGGGGCCCGTTTTTGCCCGAAAACGTGCCGTCATGTACTTGGGAGGGGAGGTCACCCTGAGTACTGGCCGGTGTCGCATGTGTTGGCTCATACAGCGTTTAGGAGTCTAACATGCTTTCTTCCCTACGGTGCTGCTAAAATCACTGTACGTCTAATAAAAACCCAAAACCAAAAACAAAACAGTGACCCAGGCTTCTGCGGAAGAAGGCAGGGCCTGCAGGACTGCAGGGCCCCCAGGTTCAAGGTCACGTGCCCGGTGATTTAACACACCACAACGTGCTGGGCGGAGAGCAATGCCTGGTCCCAGCTACACCTGGGTCCTGTTGCTTCTAAGGGTCTTAAAGGTATTTGCCACTGAACTTGACCTTCTGGGGTTTTAAAGGGACCAAACACTCCCCCTCATTTGCAACAGGCTGTACAGGAAGACAGGGCAAGAGTGGAACATCCCCTGTCCCAAAGGCAGAGACATGCCCAGTGACCTGGCCATGTGTGGGCGTGTAAAGCGTAAGTCCATATTCCTGGTCTGGGGCCTGCATCCCCCTCCCATCCTGCCCAGGAGGCGGAGCACCCCCACACTCCCTCCGTCCACCTCACCCGGGCCCTCACCCTACCCCCATCCATGCCTAGAGCAGGGCGGCCTTTGCCACGCACCCAGCCCTGCATGCCAAGCGCCGAAACGGCTTGGACCTTCCCCATCACCCAGAGCGTTCGAATGAAAACAGAACAAGAGACAAATGAACAGTTCCAGAAAGAGCGAGAGTGGGGAGAGAGGGAGAGAGGGTGCTCGTGGAAGCATCCGATGAGGGGCGGGAGAGCGGAGAGAGCAAGGAGAGAAACAATACGTCTGACTTACGTGAGCACATAATTGACACTCACGATGCAGTGGGGCCGGGAAGAGCGGCTGTTGTGCACGACGGTGGCGTAGCTCTGCACCCACACCCAGCCGCCCAGCTTGGACAGCAGCCGGTAGTACTTGGTGGTCACCTGGCCCTTCACCAGCACTGCAAGCACAAGGCGACAGGAATCCCGAGGGACAGTTAGCGGGCCCGGGCCCGGGGGACACTGCCCCATGCACGACCCGCAGCCCTGGCTCTGAACCCGTCTGAGGTCAAGGACACCGCGGAGAACTTGACGCAGAGGGCAGGCTTTCTGGGCGGAAGGTGCGCATTTGTACACACACACATGCGCGCGCGCACATGCGATTTTTGCCAACAATTCCAAGAGACGGAGGAGCGATCTCTCCCCTCCCCTATTAAGAACTTGAATAGCCACTGCTTTCACTGGGAAAATCAATTAGCCCCCAGGCTACCTTGGCGCCTGTCAGAGTGATACAATTGGATTTGCTTTTTAGGTTCCAAAATGCCACAATTATGTAATAACCCCCAAACCCTTAATAGGTTGGGAGTGAGGTGGGGATGGGCGTGATGGAGTTATTTAAGCAAAATAGCAAGCTAAGGGCGTCCAACGAAGCATCCGATCTGCCGCTCTCCAGGGCGGTGCACGTTCACCCGAGGCTGCTCCTCAGCGGCCCCCTTTCCTCCCATGAGCCCTGGTCGCCCACAGGTTCCTGCGTCGCTGCCTGGCTGTGTCGTTCCTGGCCAGGACTGGCTGGTGGACCCAGCTTCAGTCTGTGCAGGGGCGCGCTCCAGGCTGCGGAGCGGCACCTGCCCCGCAGGCCTGCAGGGGGCCGGTGGCCGAGGGCTGGAGGGAGGGGAGGTGCCAGAGACTCAGGGGGGAGTAGTGGAAAGGAGAAAACGGGACTTAATCTTCTCCAGGGAGGGGGAGGCCAGTGCAGGTCTGAAAGGGCCCCCCTGGAGGCTCCGGCCCCTCGTGGCCACAGGACACTCTGCTCCCGAAGGCAGGGCCGGCCCCAGGGCTCTAGCTAGCAGCCACCGCCGTGGGGACCTGGGGAGGTGGCCAAATTCTGTGACTGCGGGAGCTGGTGCTGAAGGAAACGCCCACCCAGAGACTCACAGACACGGAAGTTCAACCCTCATTTCTGCCTCTAGGCAGCGCCCCACGCCTGCCTCCCAGACCCTCTCTGGACTCTCCATGGCCCTCTGTGACTTGTTTTCAACACAGAGGCGGCTCCTTAACACCTGCAGCAAGGTATTCTGGTGCAGAAGAAAAACTGCTGTCAACACAATAGTCAAGGAGTTATTGGCCTTCATACAGAAAGAGTTCACACGGATTGATGAGAACCCTGAGACCCTGACCGCAATATAGGCAAAGGACCCAAGCAGCAGCTCACGCAGGCTGCATGTGAGCGGCAAGCACGTGTCAGCTGCTGGTTTAACTCCGTGCCAGGCACCGCCCACCAAATCTACAGGCGTTTAAAAAGAAATACATATTGCACGATTCTAGCTACATGAAATGTCCAGAACAGGGACATCCGTAGCAACCACGAGCAGATGCGCAGTTGCCGGGGCTGGAGGAGGGAGCTGGTGCGGCGGCTACACCCAGTGGCTGGGCTTCCTCTGGGAAGGAAAAAACCGTCTGCCCCAGTGGGTGGGGCTCAAGGAGTTGAGCGCTGGCCTGAGAACTGAAAGGTCACCAGTCGATTCCCCGTGAGGGCACAGGCCTGGGTGGCGGGCCAGGTCCCCAGGTGGAGACGTGCGAGAGGCAACCGCTCGACATTTCTCTCCTCCTCTTTCTCCCTCGCTTTCCCTTTCTCTAAAAATAAATAAATAAAATCTTTAAAAAGATGTTCTGGAATTAGGTAAAGGCGACAGCCGCACACCACCGTCAATACTCTAAAAACCACAGATGGTCGTTAAAATGGTGAATTTCATACCACGTGAACTTTAGCTCAAAAAACCCCAAATAATGACAGACAGGCGACGCTGGCCAATCGTGGTGAGGAGCGCTCTCGCGTGCCGCGGGGGCGTGCGCTGGCGCGGCCCCGTCTCGCACCCAGACCCCGGCCGTGGGAATGAGGAGTGGGGCACAGAGACCCGGGCCCAGAGACGTCCCCCGCGACCCGGCTTGTAGTCCAGGAAACAGGGAGGGGAGGCTGAACTGTCCAATGGCTGGGAAGAGGGCAAGTGAATTACAGGGCGCTCGGCGGCCATAACGTGGAGGGTGGTGGGAATCTGTAATATTCGGGTGTGTTACGTGATGGTAAACGGGACCACATTCAAAGCTGCACAGAGTGAAACGCCAGCGATGCGGGAGTGTGCGCTAACTCCCCTCCCCCGCCCGACTGCGTGAGCCCCGGCCAGCTGTTCTGGCCCCCATTTCTCGGAGTGGCCACTGTGGGCGGAGAGAACAGCATCTTCTAGAAGGTTCTGCGCATCTACATATGGGGGTAGGGTGGGTCATGAGGGAAGACTTAATTAACTGATTTCCTTACGGCCCTCAGAGAGAGGGGACACAATCACGCAGAGTTCCCACCTGTGGATTCCCCGGGAGGCCATGCTCGCTTGGAGAGAAATGCTAATCCTTTTGGCTTTGAAATCTGTTCCTAGCAGCCTTTGTAAAGCCCCTATAATGACACATTCAGTAAATTTTTTTAATTAGTAATAAATGATACTTTTTTTTTTTTTTAAGTCCCAAGGAGTAGAACTGTACACTTTCCCTGTTCCTCATCTTGTACTTTTTTTCTTCCTGGTATTTCATACAACATTCCCAAAACCTATCGATGGTCATCACGGAGCGGGACATAAGGAAGCCAGTTTATTCCAAGTATGTTCTATGAGGACTCGGACGGCAGAAGTTGCACAGATTCCATTATCTCTGGCCCTCCCCGGCTCTGCTCTGACAGGGCTTCAATCCAGAGGACAAAGAGAAACACAGAATTTTTTTTTTTTCCTTCTGCTCTTCTCTGACCCATGGCGAGAGTCAGCACATCGACCCAGTGGAAATCCTAGACACTGAGTCACAACATTCTCCAGTTCGCTCTCGCTGCCCACGCAGCCTGTCGTCCCTAATTAGCTGCCTGCGATGGTCCCGGGCCAGCGCCGTCTATAATAAGTGCCTGGTGGTGATGGACAGGCAGGGAGGTGAAGTCTCTGGCCCGTGAGCTCCTGAGGGCAGAGGCCCTGACTGGGGGCCTCTGTGCTCCCTCTCCAACGTCACGTCCGCGTCGGTTCTGAAACCAGGGGGGCCCCGCCTAGACAAAAGCCAGGGGCTCTGGTTTTCTGAGCCTGCTTTGGGATGGAGATTGTAGTTCCATAAACATGCTCTCCAGAAAAGGGGGCGGCCTTCCTGCTTCCTCCAGAATGCGTCCTAGAGATTCGGTCATGGCTAGGGGTCGGCCTCTGGGCGGGGAGAACCGTCGGCCTGAAGTGCAATTTCGACTTTTAACTTGAACTTTAAGAGCTGAGAAGGACACCAAAATGACCTGTCGTGGGTTGAATAGTGTCCCCCCAAAAGATATGTTCTACATCGTAACCCCTACAACCCACGAATGCGACCATATTTGGGCAAAGAGTCTTCAGAGATGTGATTAAGGCAAGGGGCTCAGGACGCCAGGCCGAGGTCGGAGCACGTGGCCACGAGCCAGGGAGGGCTGCAGCCCACCATGGGCGGAGGGGACAGTGGAAGGCGCACCCCTACGGCCCCCAGATGGAGCATGTCCTTCTGACCCCTTGGCTTTGGACCTTTGGCCTGCAGACCTGGGGGTCAGATTTCTGTCGTTTTAAGCCATAAAGTCGACCTCATTGTGCTGCAGCAGCCCCAGGAAACCGAAGCCCTGCCACGGAAAAGCGGGCGGGGTCCGTCCCCGTGCTCCTCCCTCCCTCCCGGCTCTCTGTCGTCTGCCACGCGGGGCCTCGGAGCGAGCACACCGAGCACACCGGTGAGGCCGCACACCAGTCACGTGCTCCTTTGGGGAGCGGGTCTCAGGGTGCTGCGTGGCCCCCCAACCCCCTGCTCTGCCTGCTGCCCGTCGCGCTTCGGTTGATAAGACACAGGGAGCCCCGAGGACAGGAGCACTTTGGGGAGACCTTTCCGCAGCGCCCCGTCATGGGGTGTCTGCGAAGTGACACCGCAGAGGATGGGCTGAGCCGATCCATCGAGTCCCCTTTGGCATCAAGCAGAAGGGACAATCTACGACTACAAATGTCCCCCCAGCAATCTGGGTGACGTGTAGGTCCCACGGTGCTTTCCGGCATTAGTTCCTGTTCACAGCTCATGCTCCCAATGCAGGTTCCCCGCCCCCTTGTGGGCACGACAAAGCCGCCACCACCTCCAGACAGCTCGGAGGGAGGGGGCCGCTAAAAGACCTTCCGGCGAACCGAACCGCATCGCCCGTCCAGTCGGGAGGCCGGCGAGGCCGCGGCGGAGGCCGGCATCCCGTGACGTCGCGGGGAACGCCTCACCGCGATGGGAAGCTCCTTCCGTCATGTTTGTCTTCCAGTTCAAGACCTTTGTCCCTGAGTGGCTGCAAACGGATGACCCTTTCGCTATCTGCGTCCATCGATGGGCTCTGTTGGTGGCGGCATGTTGATGGGTCCTGCGGCCCCCGTGAGTCCCAAGCTCTACCCCTCACTGCCCCGCTTTACCCATTCACACAGTCACGGGACACGCTTGGCCCCGTGGGCACTGCAGTTTGCGGCTCCTGCATGTCATTTAGAACACGTCCTCCCTGGGTCTGTCCCTGCCGCCATATGGTTTTGTTATAACAGTTGCTGTTTGAGATTTGTACACCACGTATTCAGGCCCCAAAGCCTCTCTGTGACAATCAACGTCCGGCTACTGGGCCCAGCCTGTGTGCTCCCAGGGGTTTGGGCCTGGCCCGCTTTGCCAGGGGCCGGCCCACCGGGCGAGGTGGAACCCTCCATGGCCGCGGATGGACTGCGGGGCAGATGGCCTGGTTCCTCCCAGCCCTGGCCCCACGGGCAGTCCGCCTACGGTCCCCCGACACAAACCCTCCAGTTGACAGCCTCGAGCCCTCCAACAACTGTGCGCCTGGTGGCCCCCGCCCACCACCAAGCCCTGCCAGTCAGGGGAGCACAGAGCTCCTCCCAGATGAGGAAGTCTCCCAAACACATCTGCAGGGAGCCGGGGTCAGCGGGGGCAGGCCTCGGACGGTGGGGTGCCCCGTCTCCCTCAGGCCGCGTGACTGTGTCCTTGCCGCCCCGGGCCCACACTCAGCAGGGCTGCTGGGGGCCCTGTGCTCACCGCTCCTCCCAGAAGGTCCTGGGGAGCCCAGCACAGTCTGACCTGGATGGCCGCCGGGAACGCCCAGGCCCACGCGGCCCTGTCCAGAGGCCCAGGCGCCAGCGCCTGTCTTGGGGACCTCCGGCGGCCCGTGCTCACGGCCTTCAGCGTCCAGCCCAGTGGTCCCCAACATGCCTCTGCTGGCGAATTGAATGCCGTTTGTTAACTCTTTCCACATGGACGTCTCCCACCCTATGAACCTGTGGTCCGCCCCGAGTTTCCCCAGCCAGGGGGTAGGCAGCGGCTGGAGGCTGCCCGCTGCCTGGGTTCAGCTCCCGGCTCTGCCCCCGCCCTGCTGTGTGACTGTGGGCAAGCGTCTTAACTTCTCTGAGCCTCAGCGTCCTCACCAGTAGCAGGAGGACCATGGACCCGGGACGCCCCCTCCCTGGGCCAAGCAGTTACGCACTCAAACTGCTGCCTGACGGGAGTCGGGGCTGCGTGCTGGTTCTGTAACGAAATGCTGCGGCCGTTACTCGCAACTGGTGTCCAGATGTCCCAGAGACAGTTCGGTTCCCTATTGACGACCTAGATTCTAGCAGCTTCTGCCCCACCCCCCACGCCTGCCAGAGTTTCACTGGGTGTTTGACAAATAGCTGTGCTTCCATCCCGGGGCGTGAGGGCTCGTGCCCAAGGGTGAAGATTCGTGTGTACGCCGTGGACAACTATTGCACCTGACAAGGGACGCTGCCCCGCTTGGTCCCCACGCCTCCTCCTGGCCCGCGACGCCCGCGACCGCCGTGGGAGCGGTACTCACGGAGGTGGTGCGCGTAGCGGAGGTGGAACACGTCACAGCCGTGCACGTGGTGGTAGAGGGTCTTCTCGATCAGGTCCTGCGGCTCGTACCCGGTCAGCTCCGTCACCCTGAGGAGGACGGGGCTGCGTGACTCCCTCGCTCTGAGGTCGCCTTTCCTTTCAACTAACATTGGTTTTGCCAACAGGAATCAAGTGCTAAAAGGCGGGGGGAGGGGGAGGGAATGTTGATTTTGGAAACTAAGAATGATCTTTTTAATGAGGAGAAAGGCATTGAACTCCAGCCCAGAGCAGGATGTAGGCCTAGTCATGAGCAATAACGTTCCTCTGAAACCACTGGCCGTGAGAATGTCGGGGTGGCCTCAAGTCGCGTCCCTGCACCCCAAGGTGAAGCTTACCTGAGGAACCTCAGGCTGAACTTTGGTACTGATAGTGGGAGAAAGCAGCCCAGGCGAGAAATAACCCAATCTCCGGGGACTCTGGGGGGACCCTTTTTAGAAATTATTGTGGCAAAATAAGCATAAGATAAACTTTACCATTTTTAACCATTTTTAGGCGCACAGTTCAATGGCAATAATTCCCTTCACAATGTTATCTGACCATCCCCACGTCTATTCCGGAATCTTTTCTTCACTCCAAACAGAAACTCTGTCCCCATTAAATAATAAGCCCCACCCTCTGTCGCCCCACTTCCTGGCAACCCCTATCCTGCCGTCTGGCTCTCTGACTTGGTCCGCTCTAGCTATCTAAGTGGAAGGACACACCATTTGTCTTTTCGGGCCTGGCTTCTTTCACACAGCATAATGTTGTCAAAGTTCCCCTGTGCTGTAGCATGTGCCAGAACGCCGTTCCTTTTCATGGCCGAGTAATATTCCACCGCGTGTAGACACCACCTTCTGTTTATCCATTCATCTGAGGCCGGACACTCGGGCTGTTTCCGAGTGGTGGCCATTGTGTGTGAGCCTTTAGGTCCCCTTCCACACCAGACACCGTTCCTTACCACGGCTGGGCTCAGGACGTCTGGCCGGTGGTCCCTGCTGATGGGATGGAGGGTCTGACCGAAGACGGTTAAGCCTCACGTTGGTGGAGGATTGTTTTAGACCCCCCAGGAAATTGTTTAACACAGAAAACATTGTGGCTAGAAGGTCAACCTTACGCTCGCCAGAGCAAAAGAAGCACGTCCCTAGGGCTTGCATGACGTTACCCCGGGCCTATTAATTCCCCTCCTCGGCTCTTTGAAGGAGAGTGGTTGTCCTCTTCCAAGACGGCATTGCCAGTGGCCTTTGGATCACTCCGTCCGCAGGTGAAAATTGCATGTGGCAAATGCACTGGGAACCATGCCCTCGGAAGAGGTGGTCCAAACATCTCGGTGACAGATATTCAAGAACAGATGAAAGAGGGACACGGAGGGATTCCAAAGGAGGCGAGGCCATGGTGAGAAGCCCACGGGGACCAAGGTTGGCTGGGAGCTGCGGCCCTGCCGGCCCTGGCCTGAAACATTAGCTGTCAATTAAACGGGGAAACTTGACCTCGCTTCCATTCCTTAACTCGCTCCCCTTTCTGTTGAGCTCTACACGGGCTCCGGTCGTAAATCTCTGAGAGCCTCGCATAGCCCTGGACCCCCTCGCTGTTTGGTGACGCACTTCCACGGCGATCCTCGGGGCAGGAAGGAGCCAGCCCGAGGCAAGCAGGAGGGGAATGCGCCCAGGCCGGAGCCTTCCAGGGCTCCGGGGAGTTGTCCAAGGGCCACCTAGAACTTCAGGCCCCGCCGGAGTCCAACTCTGTGTGGCAGGAAAACTGAGATGTCTGCTTCCCCCAAAGAAAACCAGGCATCTCTCCGGTGTGGGGATGAAAGACGCTTCCCAGACCCTTTGGACGAAAAGTTTCAGAACAACGGCCCCGAACGTGTAAATGAATCAGAAACACATGTATTAAGTTTCTCATCAAAGTACACATGGCTTTAAAAAATTAAAGGGGAGGGGAAGGGTCTGGCAGCGCGCCCTCCTGTTTTTTCCAACCCTCTAGTGTCTGAAGACCTGTCAGGGGATTTGCCAAACCCCAAACATCGCTCGGCTCCCCCCTCCTCAGCAAAGGCACCAGCTACAGTTTCAAAGCGAAATACCACAAACCCCCCCGAACCGAAGTTCAGGTTATGCTGAGTTCAGCTCTGTCTGGGATCGTGCTGGGTGGGGGGCCGCTGCCCCAGGGCCTCGGGATTGCAGGGCTTCCGGCCAGGCCCTCGCCGGGCTCCTGGGTTTGTCGTCAGAGCTGCCATCTCCTACCCGGCCTGGACGTGGTGCTGACCCCCGAGGGCTGTCCCGGGCCCACGGGGCTGCCCCACGCGGAACACCCGAGTGGGTGCGAAGAATTCTCCGGTGCGCTTCTGGCCCCTCCGTGAGCACCTCCTACAGGACCAGGAGGTTGGGAAAAAGCCTCAGGCTTCCCGGGAAGCCTGTGGTGCTCGGCAGGAGGAGCTGACGTCTTCGCCGTCTTCCGTGGAGACCGGAAGCTTTCCTCGAGGTCACTGCCTTTCTCTCCTACTCCCTCGGGGACGCGGCCCTCACAGCCACGCGCGGGGGAACGCTGGTGTCCGGAGAGCCCGTGTCTGCGGCTCCAGGCCCCGGACCCCTCAAACTCGGTGCACCCTCTTCTGTGAGGCTCTCCTTCTGCCTCCGGACTGCAGAGCTGGGCGGGTCGGACAACTGAGAAAACCTGAAGTCTCTCCTCGGGGAGCCCCCTCCCTTCCCTCTTGTAAAGAACTCACCAGGCCTGGAAGCGGGGGTGGGAGCGGGGCTGGGGTGGGGGCGGGGTTGCTGGAACAGCCAAAGGAAAACGAGGAGACCAACAAGGGAGAACCCGGTTGATCCTGCCTCCTGCCGTGCTTCTGCCATAGAGGCCTGGGGCAGCCGGGAGCTGTGTCTGTCCACCCGGGGAAGTGACTCCGGGATTGGGCAGGTCCCCGTCTTTTCCACCTGCTCTCAAGCCCCCAGCCCCAGCCCCAGGGCCGCTGGCCAGCCTCAGACACCAGACACCGGTCCCGCCACAGGGACACAGCGCTTGTCAGCGTCTGGCCATCCCTGAGGTGCCGCGCCCGCCCCCAGGGTCACCCTTGCCGTTGTGTGGGAGTTCCCGGGGGCACAGCGATGCCCTGTCATGCTGGCCCTCGTCATTTCTCTGCTTCCAGATGGCTCTGCCGTGCCTTCGTGACGACCTAGACTAACCTGTGTCTTCCCCTTCCACCGCTCACCAGGTGGAGTTGTTTTTCTTCAATAAATGGTTAAAACGACCCATTTTATGTTACATATATTTTACCACAAAAAAGGGAATAAAATCAATAAATCCCAGCTTTGGGGCGTACAGAAAACAAATAAAGATAGACGCAGACATATAGGATAGCTATCGATAGACGCCTTGCCTCTGGGAAGCCCAGCCACAGGCCCCGGCCGCGGGGCGGGGGGCGGGGGGGCTCTGAGCACGCGCCCCTGCCTGTACAGCCGCGGAAGCCAGGAGGCGAAGGGGCTCGCCGAGCTGGCGTATCGGACCTTTTCCTTTTGCCAATGCTTCACATCTGTCATCTGGTGGCATCTCTCCTAACTGCCCTGGGTGGCAGGGTGGGTGGGCCGGGCTGTTGTTTTATTTATTTCTATATAAATATACAGATATCAGCCTGAAGACTCGGAGGCTGCAGCCCGCCCTGGGGAGGGGACATCCCCACCAGAGCAGGCTGGCCTGGGCCTGGGTCTCACTTGTCAGCGGTTCTTCCTCACTCACACTCCCTGCTGCCTCGGAAGACAGTCACGAGCTGATGGGAATTCCCATGTAGGGGAGGAAAGGACAGGTGGGACAGACAGGTCTGGGGACGCTGCAGCCTCAGCCTCCTAGCCCGGACCCCGAGAGGGCACCTGGCGAGCTTGCGGTCGCAGCCTCTCCGCCAGGGAAGCCACCTGCCGGCTCCCAGCCTCAGGCTGCGGTGGCTACCACGGCCCATGTGGCTTCCCACAGCCCGGATCGGAAGGCCTCCCTGCAGCACACGACACGGTGCAGAAACCCGTTTGCTTCAAAGTCCTCCCGACACGGTGGCGACGCGAGGCAGACCCCTGACACTGCGTGTTGCCGAGGGGGCTGCCTGGTGCCCACAACACGTGTCTCCAGCTACACCTGAGAACCAGGCTGGCCTTCCGTCAGTTCCTGCCTGGACTTCAGCAAGTCCCTCCTTATTCGCCTTCCAAGCCTGACCTGTTCCCTGCTCCACCTCAGTTTAACAGCGGAGCCCTCGGGGGCCCCCGGCACCCCCACCCCCGGCGTCCCCCGGAGCTCCGCGGCAGCTGCAGGGGCCCAACTCACCGGGAATCCAGGAATATCAGCTTCAGGTCAAGGCTGGCCCGGAACATGAACATGTTACTGTGCAGCTTGATCTCCGTGATTGCGCTGGGCGGCAGCGACTGGCCCACGGCCACCAGCCCCACGATCTGGTAGCAGGAGTCGTACAGGGACATATCCAGCATGTACTGCCTGATCTTCAAGTAGCCGCTGCAGTGGATGACCTGGGGGGCAGAGGGCAGGGTCAGTCGGCGGCGGCTGGGGTCAAAGGGCTCCCACCCACGTGCTGGGCTACCCCAGCCTGGCCTCTACCGAGCAGCAGGCCCAGTGCCCGACGCACTGCTCAGGAGAACGGAGCTGTTCTTTCCTAAGAAACAGTATCTTGATAAAATACCAGGGCTCTTCCTTAATTGACTGTGTTCGAGGAACTCCCCAAGTTAAGTCTCTCTAATATATAACAGATTTATGCATAATTCACTCATTACTACGTTTCGATGAGATGGCACAGCGAAGGCATGTGGGGAAGCTGGACGTTTGTCCCTAAATGTTCACTTCAGCAACTATCACGCTTCTCTTCCAATGGGATCGAACTTGACATCTGTTACCTTGACATTGATATCACCTGACAAGCGGTATCACTCCAGGAAATTCAGAATTCTTTCCGTAGAATCAAAAAAAGCTTCATTTCAAAAACATTTTTATTTTAGTTTATTTATAAGTCAAGACTTTATCCCCTTGTAATAAGCAAAAGCCAGAGTGACTGTGTAGAAAGGCTTGTAATAGTGACAGCCAAAACCGCACAAGAGCAAATGTCGCGTGTTCCAAGCATCACACGGAAACACCAGGACCGCCCTAAGCCTTCGTTCTGGGGGCGCTTGTATGGGTGACAGTTAGTAAAGCTCGAAAGGCTCCTTTTGCCCCGTAACAGCGGAGGCAAGAGCCCTTTCCAGAAGCTGCCCTCCAGGACTCCCGGCCCAGGCGCCTCTCGGCTGGAGCGAACCTTTAACCCTTCTCGTCTGCTTCCCCATTTCACTGATGAGGGAGCTGAGGGCAGGGTCGGAGTGTGTTTTGCCTAAGATTCGACAGTTAACACGCGGCAGAAACAATTTGAGACTCCAATGTCCAGAGGAATGTCTGGGGGTGCAGGACGGTGTGGGGGTTCCCCTCCCCCCGGGCCAAGCAGGCTGGGAGTCTGGGGCAGCAAGCAAGCAACGTGCCCCCTAGACTAGAAAACGGAGTGAGAGGCAAGTGCTTGGAGGGGGTGGGGCTCCAAGGAGGGGCCTGAGGAGACGCGGGGGTGGGGGGTGGGGGGGCGGCAGATCCCTGGGGGGGGGCGGTGGGGAGGGGCGCTGCAGAAAGAGCACAAAGCTACCGAGGCACCAGACGGACCCTTCTCTCTCACCCCACCCCGCCCTCCTTTTCTGACCCTCAAACACTCCTGCAAAAACGCCGCCACCGGCCTCCAGCTCCAGAGACGGGGAGGAGGGTCAAAGGGGGGCGATCAGCTCGGACACCCCCCACCTGCCCTTTCGCCGGGGGCCGTGGCCTCTGATGGGGAGGCTCGGTATTGCCCACGGGCTCTTCGGGGGAGCTGCTCCTGGATTCCGGAGTCGGTCAGGGCCGCGCCCTGTCTGGCGGAGAGGCTGGCCAGGGAGGGCAGGGCGGGGCTCGGAGGCCCCCCGCTCGGCCCCGGCGTGCCCGCCTGCCCTCGTGCTTGTCAGCTGGTGTCCTTGGTCGTCCACCGGGGCCAATCTCACTCCCTCGGAGGGCGGGCGGCTCTGACTATTAGGTCACCTAACTGGGCTGCGATGCCAAAGACAGAGGCTCTGCTCGCACCCAGGACGGGCTGTATGCTCACTGCCATGCACAGCAGTGGCCGCATCCCCGGATGTGGGCGAACACTCTGATACGAGTGACCTTTCAGCGCTCTGAACACGCATCGCGCCCGGGATCCTGTGCTGAAATACGGATGGATTCTCGGTTAACTGAGGGGCAGCTGTCCAGTCAGACTGAGCTGCGTGCAGAGTAGAACTTGCAGGTGCCAAAGTCATGTGCGCCCTTGGCCATGTGTATTCTTGGTCTCCTGGGATGAATATTCTAAGACGCCGGCTCTCACACCTGCCTGGTGAGGTGTGTCACCGGGAAGCTCTACATTAGGTGGTAGGAAAGGTTTGGGGCCCCATGCCTTCCTGTCTGCAGATGTTCATGGGCGTGAAGCAAAACAGACAACGGGGAAGCCCCCCAGCCCCACCCCGCCTGCCCCCACAGCTCCTGTACCTTGTATCCGCTGCACGTCAGGCCCGCGTTTCTCTTCGCCAGGACACACTTCATCCGGAGGAAGAACGATCTCTCGATCTCATACTCTGAAAGCAGGAGTCAGGTGACACTGGACAAAGTCCCACCATGCTCCCCAGCTTTGTCCCAACACCCTCAGCACACCCTGGGGACCAGGACAGGCAGCTGGGCCTCAGGGAGCCTCGCCTGCGGCCGGGACCTGGGTGGCTGGGGAGACGGGCCCGTCCCGGTGAGGCTCCCAGGTGCCCCGGGGAGGGCAGCCCGAAAAAAGGCCAGAGCAAGAACTTGGGAGCGCCAGCCTGGGGTCCCCGTGAGAGCTGCACGTGCAGTGGCCCCCGTGGGGCGGCCCCAAAGGGGCCTGGTGTCAGGAGCCACCACTGGGGCAACCCTCAGCAGGGCCCTGAGTCTGCGAGGGAGGCCCAGAAGCGGCCAACATCCCTCGGGGCGGCAGAGAGCAGGGACAGGCCATGAGGGCGGAGGGAGCCAGCAGCAGCGCCTCCTGCCAGCCGTGCCCGCGGCACCGAGGCTGCCTGGCACCGTGGAGTGGGGAACAGAGCCCGCGGACCCGCTGGGCCAGATCAGTGCTTCGCCCTTGGGGAGAGCCCAGGACGCCCGCCTTCCTTGTCACTGTGTCTCTGGCTGGGCCACGGCCCGCCTTCCGCTTCTCCTCAGGCTTCGCTCACACTCCTCTGCTCTCACAGCTGCCAAGGCAAGCGAGGCCCCCAAGGAGGCGCCCTCTGCTGCAGGGGGGACCCCGCTCTCCGGGGCACAAATACCCACGTGCCTGTGCCCCCGGGGGAGGGCGAGGTCGCTCCGCTCTAAATAAACAGCCACTGGGTGCTGGTTAATAAATTAATTTTTAAAGAAAGGTGACCCCTGGGAATGGAAGCGCAGCCTTCTGCCCTCCCCGAGGGCATGCCTGGTGCAGGCGACAAGTTCACCTGAGGGCTCTCTCCCCGCTGCAGGTGGAGAGGCTGCCGTGTTTACCCACACTCCCCTGCAGTGGGGGGGAGCATGGGGCACAAGCTTCCCTTGAACACGGCACCAGCCTGCCCCATTTCCAGACAAGCATGCCCAGGTCTAAACTGCATCACATGCTAACTAACAAGTTTTGGGGGGAGCCCACTTCTTACACCATGAGCATAAAACAATGGGGCCAACCGAGACACAGAAAACCAGCTGCAGTGAAACTGGGAGAAAAGTGAGCGGGGGGCGGGGGGACCTCGGTCCCTGCACCCTCGGTGGCTGTGGCCGTGAGCTGGGCGAACCCGCCTCTCCTAGGCCTTTGTGTCCCTCCTGGTGTGCTGTCTCCAGCTCAGACACGCACGCATGGAAAATGGGCGGCCGGGCGGGGGGGTGTCCTGATATTCCCAAGTGTCATAGGCTGTCGTTTCCTAAACACTTTTTAAAAAGCTATGCCAGGGAGGGAAGGGTGAAACCAGGGCTAGTGGAGAAAGCCCACTCCTGTGCCACAGACTGTGCGTAATTTTTTGGAACAGTAACAACAAAACGTCCCGAGGAATCCTCTAAGACTCCCGCTGTCCTGGTCCAGCTTTAAAGACCGCCCCCCACCCGACCCGTGAAAGAATGACTTTCAAGTGCCACGTTCTCTCCCAGCCCTCGTTCTGTTAGGAATGACTCCTTCAGACTCTCACGTCCCTCTGGGGAATGTCGGCCAAGCCGGGACGCCGCAGTCCAGAGCGGCCCCGAGGCCCTCGGTCGACGTGCCGGTTGGCCTCATTGGCCTGCCAGAGGGAGCTACAAGAGCGGGGCCCCGGAACAGGTTCTTCTGTGTCTCCCAAGCACACAGGGCAACTGCCCCCTGGGTAAGGAGGAGCCCCATCCTCTCTGAACAGCCACGCCTTGTCTGCGCTGACCCAGTGCTCACCACAGCAGGGACTCAATCAACGCGCGTGAATCGATGGGTAGGGCTGTCGGGGGGCGGGCCATGTCCCCGTGGGAGCCAGGCCAGCGAGACGGACCTGCCTCCAGCCAGACCGGGGCTTCTGAGCAGCTCCAGGCCGTGACGACACCGACCTGTCCCCACGCAGGCTAAGGTTTTTAAGCACGTGAAGTAAAATGTCTGAGATTACAAATGGATGTATTGCAGATGGATTGAAAACAGTTGTTACAATATTAAAACGAGGGGTGATGTGCTCATAAATGTGCTGCTTTATTAACACATTAAACAGCAAGGCCCAGGAGCGGGGCCTCAGCACCCCTGGGGTTCCAAAGGCACGAAGCTGTTAGCGACAGACACGGCTTTCTCTCTACAATCGAGAAAATCAGGAGGTGCTAACTTTCAACTAGAGAACTGAAATGTAATTTTCCCCATCCAATTCCGAAAATGCAAGTGCTGCCCTCGGACCCTGTGGGCAAGAAGCCCAGGTCTAGATCCGTGGGGCCCAAACCAAGAGCACTTTGGGGGAGACGCCTTTGGCCACTTCCTTGATTCCTCCCCAGCATCCGCCACAGTCGCGCACCTGATGGGCGGTCAGTGGTGGCGTGTGAAGGACAGAGGCCTCAAGCCAACCCCACTCGGTAGGCGCAGCGTGTCAGCTGGAGGCCCGGGCGGGGCGGCGTGGGACGCACAGCCCTTGGGTCGCAGCCAAGAGCATCGCCTGGTTTTCCCTCTGGTTTCTTCCCGTCCGGAGGGAATCAATACCTTGGAGCAGGTGGTGGTGGAGAGGCTGGTGGGCCGCGAGGACGGCCGTCATCTCGTCGTGGTCGGAGGGGTGGATGTACTCGTAAATGCTGTTGCCCGTGAGCTCCACCTGCCGTGGGAGGGAAGGGCGGGGTCAGAATCCTCTCCGGGAGGGGCGGGGGCACTGTGTGTATCACGCGTGTGCACCGGCCAGGGGCAGGACTTTGAGCCCCGCTGACAGCCCGCACCCCCTCCAAGCACAGAGACACTTGTCTTTTCCAAACCGTCTCCCACGCTTGCCGGCAAAGCCAGAGGTGGTTGAGCTGAAAGCCGAGAGTCCTGAGCAGGAGGAGCCGGAAAGTGAAGGATGACGAAGGTGCGCCCCGGGGCGGGTGACCCAAAATGGTCTGGTCAGCATCCTTCACACAGGAGCCAACTTAAAACAGGCGGGAGCCTGCGTGTCGTGCTGCCTGAGGGGACTGGTCAGCCGGGACCCGCCGCCTGTCCTGAGTGAGGTCCCCGAAGAGCTCTGTCCACTCAGAGGCCGAGAGGCAGGAGCCACGGGCCCCCTGGCACTGGAGGAGGACATGAACCCCCAAAGGCCCTTTCTCCGAGCAGCTCTGCCCCTCAGGCTCTGCCCGAGAAGCCTGTCTTGAACTTCCCAGTCCACAGCAACTGTGCTAACCCACGGCTCCCGCCCACGGGAGTGGCTGGTGGCCCAGCCGAGGGAGCTACGTGACCCTGGGCTCAGACACCACCTCCTTCCAGACGCGCCCCACAGAGGGCAGACACCAAGAGGCCGCGTCCACGCTGGACGGGCGCCGGCCCTGCGGGGACCTGGGCTCCAGGGACACGCCTCCGCTGGGCTCTTCCCACTGCAGCCCGTGACTCAGCTCCTGACCCTGAGGAGTGTTCCATGGCCTCCCGAACACACGTGCCCTGGCAGGGCACGCGAGCGAGCCTCGGGACCTGGTCCCTGCACCCGCCACGAGACGGGCAGCAGCATGCCACATTCTAGAAGCTACCACCGTCCGAGCGCCTTCTGAGCAGAGGTGGGTGGGTCCTACCGGAGAGATGGGGACAGTGAGTCCCGGCACCCAGTATTGGGGGGGGGCAGGGCAGTGGTGGTACTTCCAGCACAGCCAGGAGGGGCCCCAAAAGCCCAGCCTGGGAGAAAGCTCAAAGCGTGCGGGACGCTGCCCGAGGGCGGCGGAGGCCCTCGGAGGCCCTCGGGGGCGGGGGCGGGGGTGTCTGCACGCTGTGCAGAGGCAGGCTGGCCAGCGCCTTGTCCCCAACAGTGCCGCCTCACGCCCCTGGCTGCCGGCCCACGGGGGCGACGGAGAGTTTCTCCACCGCTCCGAACGGGGCACGGGGTGGCGGCTCCCCTCACGGCCTCAGAGGTGTGGCCCGCCTCCCCCTCCACTGAGCCAGTCTCCCGGGCTGCTAGGAAGTGTGAGTTGCCTGCTTCTTCAGAACAAGTTACTGTTCTGGCCTGCTAAGCAAGCGGGTCCCCGAATCGGTGTTCGCAGCTCTATTTTCTGCATTTTCCCAGAACGCTCCTCCAACATGACGCAGGCGGAGCAGCGGAGAAGGCTCCCCTGCGCTGGCCCAGGACGCGGGCCTAGCGGGGAAGCGGCTGCATGGTTTCATTACAGACGCAGTACAGTAAAGATGATACATGAAGACAAAAACGAAACACTCTCCTTGCCAGGCATTGCTGTTAGTCCTTCCATTGAAATAAACCAGCCACATTTCAGCCAGCCCTTCCGGACGGGACAGTGTCTTTTTTCTGGGGGCAGCTGTATAGATGTCAGGTGGACGGGGTGAAGGCTGATGAATAAGGGGGTTACTTTTGAAACTGATTCCCAACTTCCATGACTTACTTTAAATAGGAAAAAATATATATAACAAAATAGAATTTTTTTGTATTGGCCTATCATTTCTCTCCCGCCTTTGTTGTTAGGGGGACAAAATGATTACTCTGGTTTGCTCCAAGTCCTTGTTTAGGAAAAACTGATGTCTCTTCAGAGACACAGCTTCAAATACTTGCAGAAAAGGCCTGCGTCTGCGCTTCTGGGGGACTTTACGACTGTTTTACCCCAAAGTAGCTTCATCGGCTTTCAGAAATCCCTTCTCATCCTTGGCGTTGGGAGGAGAAGAGCGAAGGCCCACGAGTTAAAGGCTTGATTTTCTGAATATTCGGGTCAATTATAAAACAGTCTTCAAATAACGGAAATGTTTTTAAAGAACAAATTATAGAATGATAAAGGAGAGCTGGCCTTGGCTCAGAATTACGGCTGACATGCTGTTTCCTGTATTTACATATCTATCCGTGCTCATGAATGCTGGACGAAACGTGACTACCTCAAAAAAAAAAAAAAAAAATTATGGTCGCCGCTGTAAAACGCTCCAGGTCTCATACATCAGCCTTATTAAAACAGACCCTCCATGTGATATTTTAGCATTGGTAAAACCCTGGTAACTACAAAATGAATTGCTTTCCGACTAAGAGCTTTTTTATGTTTTGCTGAATAGCTTTCCTTCCTGCCAAGAAAACTACACAGGATAAATTCAGCACTAAATGGATATATTCTGGGTCAGGAGGGAAAGCCGCCCCATGCTCTGAAAACGCACATTGCTCTGCTCTGGGTGTTTTGCTGACTATGGTAAATTAAGCATTTTCAAATAAGATGGTTTGGGTTTCAGGGTTCAAGTTATGTCAACAAACATAAGACGCTGTCCTTTCTCTTTATTTCAAAAGTGAAAGGATTAGGTCTTATGGCCCCAAACAATGCCATGGCTACTTTTACGGCTGTGCTTCCGGCTGCAATCTCAAATATTCCATTTCCTTTCTGTGTCTCATAAACAGCTATTTCATACATATCGATATTTATTTGAAAGTGTACACGAGCTACCTAGGCGCTATATACTGTGTGCAACTTTGGTAAGGAAATTTAAACGCACACGGATACTTAAAAATGTTTGCGGTCATACACAGCAGGGAGACAAAGTTTTTTTCCTTTCTTCAAATATAAATCAATTATATTAACAAAAAAAAAAAACCATGGACTTAAACCTTTTAATAAACCTGCATGAATAAAGAGTGCTTCCCTGACTCTCTTCCAAACAGATGTTTGTCTGTATGTATGGATTACTATGTGTTACATACGTGTAGCCACCACATGGAATTTTCAAGCCAGGAGCTTGATTCCGTTTCCCCACATTTAGACTGTGGGCTGAGGAGGGGACTTGCATTTCGTGGTGGTCTCTGCCATTTTTTGGTATGAAAATTCGACAGCAAGGATCGCTGTGTTCAGTCATTTAAAAGCAAACACAGACTTAAAGACTCTCCATATAAGGTAGATTTCTTATTTCAAACTCTTTAAAAAGTTTAATAAAAAGCTTTGAACTGAGATGGGCTTGTAACAGGCATTTTTACACCTCAGAGAGACTACTCTGATGGTTATTTAGGTAATTCAGGTAAAAAAAGAAGAGGAGAAAGACCACTTCGGTGTGAGTTTTCATGCAATTATGGCAAACCAAAGCGGGGGCTTGTGTTTCCTGAGGGTGGCTAACATGGCGTTTAACCCTGAATTAATGGGAAAGATGTCATCATTTAATGAGATAATGTCACTTAGAGTAATTGAAAGTTCTTGGAACACAGAAGGTCACTGTGTAAATATAAGCTATTACTACTGCCGCTATTCATCAGGGACCCTGTTTAAAGGTTATTCTTAGATGACTGGGTAAAATTTTATTAACATTTTTATCTCTGGTGATGTAGAAAAATCTTCAAGCCTATTTTAATAAAAGCTTTTGTGTCTGATATATTTGCTTGACTTTTTTCCTTTTAACAAAATAATGTAAGAGCAAAAATTTTTTTTTAAAAAAAGGGAAGTTGGGTGTTTGACATCCTCTCCAATACTTTATTTTACTATTTAAGTGAAGAAGACAGAAAAAAACACACATTGTGATTCTGCCTGGATTTCCTTCTGCAGAGCTAATCTTGAGCAGGAGGCAGATTTGAGGGGAAATGTTTGTTGTTGCTTATTTAAACAGTTCACCACGGAACACTCCCCAGACGCTAGGCTTACTTCTGCATTACAGTGTTTTTGTAACTGCAGACTGATACCAAGAGGTCCTGCCAAGAGATCAGAAAAAAACGATCAGTTGTCCGGCACAGTTTGATGTATCTTTTTTAAAAAATTGACACTTCTCCTGAAACATAGAGACAACAGGCGTCTCTCTAACTTCCTTGGAAAATGGCAGTGGATCATAACTCCCCCCTTTCAAAATTAGAGCACCAAATTTTATTGCCGCATTTTGACCGAAAGTATAAGTGCAGTTTTAACTGTGATTCTGTTTAGATGTCCTTTGGTGGGGGGAATTGTGACCAGGAGGCATATTTGCCACCCATCCAATATTTTGGTCCTCTTTAATTACAGAGAGAAATGACAGAGAAAGAGAGAGATGTGGGCGTGGGAGGGCGCAGCCCGACGGGGCCGGTCTGCGCACGGGCCCCCCAGGTGCCAGGTGCCGGGCATGCCGAGCGACTCACAGCCCCGTGTGCCACCGCGGGGCGCTGTCTGAGGCGAGCGTTTGCCACTTGCAGCACGATACTAACGGAGCGGCGGTGGTGCCTGGCATTTGTGTGGCTCCCTACAGCTTGTAAGTCACATACGACGGGCACTTGGGTTTGTTTCTTACCACAATCCTGAAAGAGGGGCAGACTGGGAATTATTTTCTTAAGTGATCGTTCAGGCAGGTTAAGTATCAGACAACAAAAACGACGTAGCTGAATGCATTTCACTCTTTGCTTGGACTGCTCGGGAGCTCAGACCTAAATTTAATATTCCGTAATAGTAACTTTACCTATTCTAAAATATGTTTGACTGGCCACTTTCTTTTTCCAAGAAGTTCTATTTGTTTATTTTTAGAGAAAGAAGAGAGGGAAAGAAACATTGATCGGCTGCAGCCCAGGCATCTGCCGTGACTGGGAATCGAACTGGTGACCCCTCACCTTGTGGAATGACGCCCATCCCACTGAGCCACACCAGTCAGGGCTTGACCAGTCATTTAAAAAACATGTGAAATGTTTGTCTTCTTTGTGATATTATTATTAGACTAATCAACGGTTTTATAAATCGTGACTGAAAAAGGTAAGTAATCTGATTCAGGTCTATCAGCCACAAACCAAGCCAGGCGTAGAAACTGGGAGGGGTACAACTAATGGGTCTTAAATAATGCTAAATAGGGCAAGGCAAAAATTCAGAGAAATGTAACTTCGCAAAATACAAAAAACAGTAAGCGCCATGTTCCCAACCATATTTTCCATTTTACAAATAAGTCACTGCTTCTAAGTCACATAGGCGTAAGAGCAGAGCCACTCCAGCGAATCTCACCGGGGAGACCTGGTTTCATAAAATAGAGAACAGAAGGAGAAAAGAAAACACCCAACAACTTTAATGTGAGATTCCCTTTAAAGGACTTTGCGTAAGAAACCCACAGGCACGGGGTCAGGACAGACATGTACTGGAAGAGAAAGCTGTGAACAAGTGACAAGTTTAAAAAACATATAGGCAGAGGAAGAAAACTGGTAATTTTGTTCATTTCCAAACTGGTAATTTTGTTTTTCAGTGAGAAAACCCAAGCCACTTTAGTTGGCACGTTTCACTCTGGCTTAACTACACAAAGAGGCTGGTGCATACGGACTTCCCGGGCCCCCTGGGAGCCCAGTTCCTGTATCTAATTAATTCTAGTGTGATGAAAAAGCAAGCTCTGGTAATTCACAATGTAAAGAAACACTTAGTCCCTCTATGTATAAAAATGCGACTTCTAGAACCTTCTTCCACACCTGTTAAATCAGACTTGTGAATGGCAACAATCAGCGAGACTCCCCCATCCGGAGACCCCCCCCCCCGCCCCCCGCCCCCGGCCACCGGCCCAGCCTGCAGCCAAACCCTCCAGCAAACCCTCGGCTGGGCCGGGATACACAAAGCGGAGTGCAATTCTCTCCCCTAGGGGATGAGCTCCCTTTTAGAAAACGGTTCCAGAAAAATCAGTAATATTTATATGTTCTAAAGAAACCAGGACCTTGCTGTGCAAAACAGTAGTAAACCGAATTTTATGAGTTTCTATCACAAGCATATAAAATGCTTTACTGAAACGACCACTGAACTGGAAAAACTCAGGAAAAATTACCCTGAATTCCATGTGAACACTCATAAATCTATGTCCCCCCCTCTCTCTCCCCAAAGCACATTCTGCATAAGATCCATGTTTGCCACCAGCTTCCCTCTTGCTTTCATGGCAACTCACAATACCACGTGCAGCGCCATCAAATGTGGACTGAAAAGTCTCCCTTTGTGAAGCTCTTGTTAGTGACTGAAAGTCTTACTATAGAAGCAGAGTCCAGGCTATTGAAGGAACCTCAGAACAAGGCTGGCTGTTGCAAAGATACTCTGTCATTAACCCCAAAGGAAAAAGAAAGTAAAGAAGTGAAACGTGACACGGAGAAGCAAAGCCCCACGGGATGGCCTTAGAAGAGGATTTTGCAATTGTGGATTATGCTCATACACAAAAGCAGATGCGTGAACACACTCATGTTTGAGTTGGGCAAGGCTGCCAAGATCCACCAACACTTCATATGTAGGTTGCACAGAAAATGATTAGGTACTACCTACCTGGGACAAGCCTAAATGTACGGAGGCTGTTTCCGATATATACATGATTTTGCCATCAGATGCTACCACAAAAACAAATCCATCCAAAGTCTGGAAAAGAAAAAATGTCAGGGTAAGAGATGAGAGTTATACATTCGAGTCAACTCTAGAAATTGTACTCTTACTGGGATGGAGGATTGCATAAAATATTATCACCAACACATATTTGTCAAATGCAAAAAAAAAAGGCAACAAAAAAACAAAAAACCCAGCCGGGGGCCATAAGGATTGTAAGTTACACCACTTGCTGGGCTTTCTAATGCTTTTAAAGCACTGTAAAAACAGTCTTACATGCACATCACAAAAATCATGCAAAACATTGGAGAATTCCTATCATACCCAGTTTAAATGCAGCAGCTTTATTGTTTGGGGTTATTTTAGCACTTAGCACAAATCCGGAGTTCTATGGTACTTAGGGGACAATCTACCACTATACAGACCACTTTATGTCATAATTGGCAGTGTTTATACCACTAGGACATATGCTTTATTTGCCACAATTTTCTAGTTACCCCTAAGTACCGTTTGAATAATAAATTCCGAACACTACCACTCCCCAGAAAAGAAAATACCGGGTTATTTGAACAGACTATGTCTACAGAATTAATTATTTCGAATAACCTTTGCAAAATTCAAGGGAAAAGAGTATCAATTTCTGAAAAATTAAAACCACCTACACGATATTCTGATTTGCCGAACTTGGCTAGCCCTCAAAAAAATAAAGTAAAATTATAAGAGGTAATTAAAACAAATAAAAAGGTACTGAGTATATTTATGTGTGGCAAGGATAAAAAGACTAAATTATTTTTGAAAGAGGAAACTGCATTTTATTTACCCATTCATATTTTAGATCCAGAACCAATGAAAAGCAATAAAATTGGTGAAAGATCTATACAACCCACAATGCTGCCCCCATAAAAAATATTCCAAATTAATTTCTGGCCACAAATTCTATTTTTACAGCATGTAATTGAAACCAGATTACCTTTGGTTTTTCTAAATCCACCCCCTCTTTGGAGGGGGGCCTAAAAAGAATGTAGCAGAAACGAAACATGAAAGATGCCCTTACATTCTACTCTCTCAAGTACAGTTTTGCTACAAAAATTCTTTGCCAGCTAAACTATCATTACCTTTCCCTACGCTGAGGTTGAAATCAACATCGTGACTAGAACGGTACTTTCACGTTTCTAACTCAGCTCCAAAACATTTTCCCAGCTAAACCCCGTTTCAGAAATATAAACTACACAGCCATATCTAAAGTTATACACGTGCTGGCACATTCTGCATCCTTGCTTAACTCCAAAGTCCTTAAAGAGATACATTAATGACATCGTTTCTGATGGTGAGCCATGTGAGTAAAAGGGAAAAATTATCATAATCAAATTCCGAAAGTTGCCAGCAGTAGCTAAAAATAATATCCTTAGTGGAAAATGTTGAGTATGAGTTCACAGCCTCATATTTTGCTTGCCTGTGTGCTAACTGCAAAGGCACTCTACCCACACACCACTGCGGAATTAATGAAAAGAAACGTAAGGTAGAGGAACCTGAGGATGTTGACTTTGCCACCAGGTTTTAACCGGCACTTAGTTGTCCCCCGATATTAGTGTCAGTTATAATATGCAAGAGTATCGGACATGCAAAAGCCCCCGCTCGGAGCTGGAGGCGAGCCTGCGGGAGGCCAGGCGCTCCCGGGAGGGACCCCAGCACTACCATTACCTGCCCAGCCGCCACACCGTGCGCTTTCTGTTGTAAAAGCTTCAGGTTTCAAATATTCCCCGGACCTGCTCTTCCCCAGAGCATGCATTTTTTAAAAATAAATCACATGAGGACATTCGGGGCAAAAGGGTTTTGAAAAGATCTGCTTTTTCAAAATGCGGAACTCGGGGCTGACTCCAACCCAAGTCTCTGCGACCCGCCGCCAACTTTTTTTTTTTTTCTTTTAAAGAAAACACAAAATAGAAGAAGGAAATGCAAAATAGCTCTGGGTAGGCATTTTTCCATGGCAGAGACAAATGACGGGAGGGGGGAATGAATCGGGTCGTTGATAAGGCTCTGTAAAGGGCATTTGAAAAACTCGGAGACACCAGGCATTGCTGTTCCCACCTAGCGCCAGCCACCAACTTGGAACTGGCCCTGGAACTGGCGGCCGGGCGCACGGCTCCTGCCCACGCCCCGGACCCTGCGGGGGAAGTTCGAGGTCGGGGCGGCTCAACAGCGGAGGACGGAATGGCCCCGGGCAGGGCGGGGCGCTAGGTGGTTGACCACAAGCCCAGCGAGGGCCCCTCGGGGGGCCAGGCGACTCCGGAGGCCACACCAGGTTGTGGGTCCGAGGCTCAAGAGCCGGACCTCTTGGATAACAAGGCTCTACCACTTGCTGTGTAGCCTCAGGCGTGTTGCTTAACCTCTCTGGGCCTCAACTTTCTCCTCCAAAAAGAAAAAAAGAAAATAGACTTAAGAATAGAACGTCTTCTAAGTGGCTGGTTGAAGCCAGATGATATAGTAAGATTTAGAACAGAATCTGCCCGTAGTAATGCCAGCTGTTCGTATTCTATCAGCGATGCTGTCTCTCCTTTACGGCAACTCTTCCAAACACACAATTATCAGGCACTTCGGGGCTGCCCCCTCTCGCTCCGGGTGCCCTGTGACCACTCCTTCCCTGGCGCAGCGGCTGGCACCGCGCAAGCACTCCCTGAAGCGCCTGCTGGGGAAGTCAGGGTTAGAAAGGGCTTACCCACGCCCAGGGGCGCCCTGCTGGCCTAGGTCTCTTGGGCTAAAGTCCCGGTGCTTAGGGACGGCCAGGTGCGGAGCAGGCACAGGGATAAAAGGGCGGTCCTGGTTGAGCTGAGTCCCTGTGGGTCCAGACCTGAGAGGCGGCAGGTGGGGGCTGGCGGGCAAGGACGCCGCTTGCCCTCAGGCCCGGGCACTGCCTGGGGCGACCTACGGTCCGCCCAGTACTGTCTGGGGAGGGAAACCGGGAGAGCGGGGTGTCGGGGTCGCGGGGAGCACCGCCCGGCATGACCAGGGCTGCTGGCCCCGGAGTCCTCGCCCCCGCGCAGCGGCCCTACCTGCAGCAGGTGCGATCCTAGCTCCTTGGCAACGCTGTCCAGAGGCCCCGTGCGGCTCGGCTGTCCCCACGCATCTCCTAAACCTGGGCAGGGGAATGCAGCAAATCAGTAAACGACAGCTCCCAGCCGGAGCCCGGGCGCTGCCGAGCAGGGCAGGGCGTGCGAAACCCCGCTCCCAGCGCCCAGGCTGCCCCCGAGGCCCGAGCGACCCCTGTGCCCTCAACGAAAAAGAAAAAGGCCAAGGCAGATTTCCCGCCCAGGCCCAGGTTCCCAGCGCGGCAGCGGCGCCCTGAGCCTGCCAGACCCAAAGCGCGCGTGGGTCGCCCACGTGCTCACGGCTCTGAAATGGCCCTTTTATTATTTGAAATGCCACAAAGTAATCTAATCTGCTTTGTTAAAATTGTCCCTCCTCGTAGCCACAAGGGGACACTGGTGTGGCCATAAATATTCTCCCAAGGACGCCCCTCCCTTTCCCGAGTCTCCAGAGGGATCTATGGCTTTCCCCAAAGACAGGGAAGCCCAGACAAAAAGTCCCCCCGTCCAGCAGGCAGCTTTCCTGAATTAAAAAATAAAATAAAATAAAATCATCTTTTTCAACCTCAGTAACCCTGGGCTCCGCAGCCTTCACGGGCGCCTGGGAGGAACCCATCCCCTTCCAATCTCAGAGCTGCAGCCTGCGAACGGTTTGCTGGGGAGTGGGGAGGGGGTCCCAGAGAGCAAACTCCAGCCGTGCCAGGCCAGCCGAGTGCGGGACAGAGCTGGCTGGGCCGCAGGCGGAGGGGGCCCGTATATACTCGACCTAACGGTAACGGAGAGGTGTAGTTGTCACACAATTAGGGTCCCCCAAGCCCCACTGTTTCCTGGCTGCCCCCACCCCCAGGCCTCCTGCTCCTGCCCGTCACCTCCCCCAGGCCAGCAGTGCCGCAGAAAGCGCGCCCCCGGAAAGCCCGCCCTTGCCAGCAGAGCCTGCCTCTCCCGTGCCCTCCGCCCAGTGGTCGTGACCCTGGAGATCCCCGGCTTTCCTCCGCGTACTCCGGAGGAAGCAGGGGAGCCGGCGAGGGCTGCGGTGTTAGGCGCCGCCTGGCAGAACACTCCGCTGGTCCCTACGGTCCTCCTGCGGGGGACCTGGCCAGCTGCCCTCCAGTTCTCGCCACAGCCCCCCAGCGCGAGGTGGGGAAGGCCCTGACCGTTGTCTCCGCCTGCACGCCATTTCCCTGCGCGGAAAACGCGCGCCCCCAGGCTCGCTCACGCACTGCCCATCCCCAGCCACTGACGCGTGCGGGGTGGGCTGTGGGTCCCACGAGCGCATCCGCCTTCCCCCCAGGGTGACCTGCAGGCCAGACTGGCCCCCGCCCGCTGCGCGTCCGGAGTTTGGGACCGGAGGCCAGAGCCGGAGGCGTTGGGGGCAGGGAACCTCGTCCAGCCACCTTGAATTGGTGGGCCGTTCCTGGGATCACAATCACAAAGCGTGTCTACGCACGGTGGCAAGTCAATGGATGGGGAGCAAAGACGCCTGCAGAGACCTGGGGTCTCCCCAGTGTCCCTGCGGGAACGTGGCATCGCAGTTTCCGACGGCTTTGACGCAGGAGGCGGAAAATGCATCCCAGCAGAGTGAGGTAGCCAGGGCCTGGAGCGCCTGGGGTGGGGGCGGGTTGGCCCTGGATCCCCACCGAGGCTTTGGGAACCCTTCCTGGGGAACTCTGCTTGGCAAAGGTAAAAGGGACGGCCTTTCATTTCTCCTCCTGGGCTTTAGGAATTAGGCACTTACCCTGGCCTCCCCAGAGGGAAGTGGCTAATTTCCACAATCCCAATCCCCAAATGTGATGGCGGCCCCTTCGTCTCTGCCCTGTGGACAGGGCTGTCTCTTTAATCTCAGGACCTCGCTGCGACCGCGCCCCACTCCCAAGGACGGCCACAGCGACCAGGGCAGTGCGCCCCAGCCTCTGCCTCACAGGTCCTCACGGCCCCACCCGCGGTCGGTGGGCGTGGCAGGGTTTACTCATTTAACCAGAACTGGAAAGAACCAAAATGTAAAAGCCCCAAGGCTTGAATGAAGAATTTCACAAAGACCCAGCAACTCCGACTTTCGAAAATGGACAGGTCCGCCCTGGGAACTGCGCTTTACCCTGTTCCGGGTGCTTTCCCAAGTCTGGGCCAAAGCACCCTTCCCGGCTCAGCGGGGAGAGTGAGCCTGGCCGCCCAGCCCTGGCTTCTGGAAGAGTCCCTGCTCAGGGACCTGGGAGAATCCGCACTGCGGGAACGGCCCCCCGCCACGCTCCCCGGCCCAGCTCTCTTAGAGGCCCAGTCGGAGGCTCTGGCCTTAAGTGCAGAAAGGCACTGTGTACATGGAACCATTTTCCGTATAATTCAAACACCCAGATCCTTTGAGGGGGCTTATTCTCTTACATCACTATAGTTTTTTCTACAATTTCCCAAGGCCTCCGTTTTGGGGGAGGAGATGTGGCCCCAGCGCTCCTCCTCCCGGACCAGGTGGCGGACCAGGGTGGGGGTGGCCAGAGGTTCCCCTCAAGGACCCCGCGCGCCCCCCCCCCCCAGTGCAATGCTGCCAGCTCTTCCATTAGAAACTGCTGTGGGTGAGGCCTTTGCACTTGGCCCGTAAGAACTTGGACAGAAGACAGACTAAATAAATTAAGGTTTGTAAACAATATGCTCCCAAAACGCGAGGCGCTGTGTATGCGTGGCCGTCGCTGGACCCAACAAAGGGCTTTGTTTGAAAAGGAGGCAGGAATGTAAGGAAGGACTGGGCTGGGCTCCGCCAGGGGTACCGGCCCTTGGCCGCAGGTCCTGCCTGACCCCGGGGCCCTGACACTCAATGACCGCCTGCAGGGCGGCCGCCGGGGTCCCAAGCCCAGCCTGTGGCTTCGCAGCCACCAGGGTTCGGGTCCCACTTGCCCTACAGGTTTCAGCAGGGGGACTCCCTGCCACTGGGAATCCAGATGGCCTGTCCATGGGGGGCCGGCAGCCGCTGGGTCAGAAGGAGGGGGAGCCAGGCACCCCCTTTCCCCTCTCCCTCCGCAGGGCTTTGGGTGCCTACACCTTGGTACTCACGCTCGGCTGCCTGTTCCGCTTAAACCCACCAGGCCCTCCTGCCACGGAAGTTGCCTGGGGTCCCTCCCCCCTCCGCCCCCCCATCCCCTGGGGCTCAGTCGGCACCCAGCTCTTGAGTGTCTGCTATGCCTGGCTCCCCTGCCGGCCCCTGGGGTTACCCTGGGGGGGTGGTTCTGCCCCCCAGAGCAGGTCACAGACTGTTAACATAAATGAACACAAATAAGATGATTTCCCAGGGGGACCTAGAGGAGGGATTCCCTCGCTGGGAGCAGGGAGCAGGGTCACACCCCTCAGGGGAGGGGACACAGCGGGTCTGCTCTTTCCTCTGGACCCAGGCACAGAGCTCACAGGGGCCGTGACTGCTGGGTGCAGCCCCAGAAAAATGGGCTGGCCTGTGGCCAGAACTCCCGGATGGACAGGGACTCTCCCGCTTCCCCACGGGCAACCTTGGGTGTCTAAACCGGGGACAGAAACACTGCTCACAGGGGTCGTGAGGTCATTAAATGGGGTCAATAGCAGGGGCCTTACCCACCCCTCCCCCTCCGAGGAGCTGGGATTGTGAGAAACGGGCAGACTCTCGGCCCCTCCCCTCATTACTGAGGCCAGCTGGGCCAGTCTGGACGGTCTGACCTCAGGCGAGTGCACCGACCACCAACCTCAACTTCTCCCCGAGATGGGGGTGGTGGGGGATTAAGTGGGCTAACCCCGCAGCCCAGGGTGGGAGCGGGCCCCTGGGAGGCCACTGCCACCTTGGTCCAGCCGCCTCCTCTGCCTCCCGTCCCCCAAATACGATCTACCCTCTTTTCTGGAAAGGGGGTGCGGCATTGGGGTGCTTGGCCTCTCCATGGCGGTGGGCCATCTGAGGACACAAGATCACACTCCCCAACTGTCTGCCGCCCCAAAGTCAAGAAGCGGGGAGTGGCGGGGGTGGGGGGTACCACTGGCTGCTTGCCCCCTTTTCCCCACCACTCTCTCCTCTCCCCAAGCCGGGAGCCAGCATCTGCCACCTCCACCCCTCTGCCCATATTCAGGGTCTGGGCCACCTCAGGCGGCAGCCTCGGGGATTCCCTCCGGGGCCGGGCCTGTGCGGGGCTGGGAGGCAGAGGAGAGTCCAGAGCTGGTGACTCAGGACCCCAGGAAGCTATCGCGGTTCTGGCCCCCTCCGCGCGCTTCGTCCTTCTCCTGCCTTGCCATGCTGCATCTCTCTGGGGTCCCCGAAAAAGCCCGGTCTTGCTCTAAACCAGCAGCCGCACAGCCCACCAGGGACAGGGTAGGAAGGGGTGTTGCGGGGGTGCCCCAGAGAGCGATGCAAGTGTGACAGGGGAGGGGAGGGAAGGGGGCTTCCATCTGGACCCTGTCCTGCGGGCTGCCGCCCGTGTGGTCTGTGGTCAGACAACAGGCCGCAGGACCTGCCCCCTCTACCCGCCACCCACCGCTCAGACCCCGCAGGGTGGGATGGAGCCCCAGGCCATCACACAGCGCCCGGGCCAGGCTTCCTTTCTGCGCCCAGAGCGCCGGGCACTGGACAGGCAGGGCGCACGCGGCAGTTCCTCCAGCTCCAGCTGCCGGGGCCACGTCCCTCACCCGGCCTGGCCCGGAGCACCCCGCTCGGCGAGCGCGAGCTTCCCCCCCACAGAGCCCAGGCGCACAGCCGGCAGGCTTCCAAGTCGAGATGGGAGAGGGTCGCAAAAATCCACATTTCAAAAGATAAATCTAATTTTTTAAAAACCCACATTATTTCGAGCTGCAGGTTAGAAAGGCCTCGAATCTGTAGCCGCATGTCTGTGGAGTATCCTCACCAAACTCTGTAAGTCAAAGTGTTTAGATTCCGGCAACAATTTCTAGGGTGGTCTCCCTCCTCCTCTCACCACTGGCACTGGCGGGGGTGGGGTGGGGGTGTGTGTGTGTGTGTGTGTGTGTGTGTGTGTGTGTGTAGGCTCTGCCTGAATCTACACGCAGACAAATCCCGCCACCAGAATAATCCAGGCCTCCAAACCCACTTCCGTTGTATGTGAATGATGTATTTGCTTCTTTTCAGTGAAAGGCTCTGATAAATGTTCCAGTCCCTTCCTCATCTTTCCCCCATACCTGCCTTGGGTCTTCAGGTCTGGGGGTGGGGGAGGAGGGGCTCTGTTCTCCTTTCCAGAGTCAGCCTCAGTCTCCAAGTCCATTCCTGACCTGGGGCCTCTGGCCCGTGCCCCCAGCGGGGGCTGCACGCTGTGCCCGGTGCGGGGGCTCGAGGCTCTAGTCTCTGGAAGGGGCCTGACCCTCGACACTGGCCGCGGAGTCCCTTCGGCTCCGACTCTGCCCGACCTGCTGAGGCCACGGCAGGCCGCCGAAGGCGGAACTAGCCCTGAGACGCCCCGCGGCTGCGGACGGACAGCGGCGGAGTCTGCCCGCCCCGGGGGCTTCTGTCTTTCCAAAGCGCCCGTCTCCGGCAGGAAGGGCCACGCGGCGCAGAGGACAGACCGACCCGACCCGGGCGCCCAGGGCCCCAGAGCCCCGCGCGTCCCCCGCCCTCCCAACCTCCATTAACGTGCCCGTTTTCAACTCTGAGTCTGCTTCCAAGGCCCGCCTTGCGCTTCTGCCCGTTCACCTCCCGCTCCTCCGACTGCTGTTGAAAGCGGGGACACTCTGGGGGCCCAGCAAGCAGCGGGTGCTGCCCGTCCAAGCACTGAGGGCTGCTGAGGGGAGGGAGCACTGTGGAAGCCTCTCACGGCTGGGCACAGGCGGTGAGTGCGCAGGAGGCAGCGGCTGGAGTGTGAGCAGGTGACTTCCACCTGTGGGGCCAGGCCCCTCGCACTGACCCCAGGAACCCTGTGCAGCCAGGAGGCTGCCCGTGGGCCCATTTCACAGACCAGCGGGCCCAGGTCTCGTGGGGCAGCTTGACAGAGCAGAGCCCTGAAAGGCTGTAAAAACTGCCACTAGCCCCAAGCCCAGGCAGGACTGGGAGAGCCAGGAGTGTCCCCTTGGCCCCTGTCACCTTTTTGTGGACCCCTCTAGGCTCCTGGCTCCTTCCTCCTGCCCAGCAGGGCAGGCTCAGGAAGAAAGGAGCAGAGACGCAAGGCCCCTCTAGTGGGGAGCTGGGCTCACAGGCTCGCTCTTGCCCTCGTGGTGGGGCCTTGGGGAAGACCCAAGTAGGAAGGGGGGCCTGCTGATCCCTGTGGTTCCTTTGGATCCTGCAATTCTTTTTCTGACTCCCAAAGTCCTAGGTCCTTCTTCACGCAGGGATCCCACCCATGGCGGGGCTACGAACAGTGAATGGCCGGGCTGTGCTTGGCGCAGCGGTTCCGATGGGCATCTTTCCACCCAAGGCCAAGAACTGGGCAGGTCCGGAGCTCCAGCCGCCACCCAGGAAGGCTTTGGCCCTTAAACCTGCCCAATGCCCTCGCCCTGACCCCGGAGGCTCCCCAGCTCCCTCCCAGGCCTGCACCACCTCCCCCATGCAGACCCGAGTCCCCAGAACAGGTCAAATCGGTTCCTGTGCCTCTTCCTCACCCCGCCCTTGGGAGCTACTGGAGGGGTGAGCAGGTAACTTTGCATAATTGAGCTCTTTCGAAAGGCATCTTTCTCTTTTCCCCTGCCACCCAGCATCACAACTCCTTACCCCAAAGCTGACTGTGGGCAGCTGCAGGCCAGGCCTCCCGTGCAAAGACCAGTCCAGAGGCCACCCGCCCACCCCCCCCCCCCCCAGTGCTGAAGGGGAGCCCGGGCAGGTCAGAACCACCTGCAGGAGAGCCCCGGTCAGAACCACCGCCTCCTCCCATCCCCTACCCTTGGGGCACCGTAGTTCCCCAGGTTCAGGGCTGGCCCCAAACTCCCGGGGTCAAACAGCTCCCTCCCCAACCCCCCCTAGAGCTCCAACCTCGATGCTCACCCCTGCAGACGCACAGGCCGCCCCTCAACCAGGCCGCTACTGAACAGCACAGGGGCCGGTACGCGAGGCTCGGACCCGGGGCCCTGCAGCAGGCCCAGGGTCCAGCAAGTCTGGGCCCGAAGCCTGGAGACTCACACTCCAGGGCCAGAGCGCACAGACCCAGTCTGAATACCTGCAGAAGCAGTACGCGCGCAACGCCCTAACTTTCGGGGGTGGGGGGGGGGCTCTGGAAATCCCCCAAACACCAGATGGCTCACAATTAGCCCCCTCTCTCCAGGCCTCCCTTTTTAACTGATTTCTGGCTTATTTTATGACACCGGCAACTAATCATGTCATCTTTTATCTGGGGGGGCAGGGGAGGGGGGTGTCCCGGTGGCCAGCACCTGCCTTGTGGCTTTCCCATAGAGATGCTGCTCAGGGGGGCCAACCAGCGACCACCACTCCTTCCTGGTGGGAAGGGTTCAGCCGGCCCGTGTAAACCCTACTTCTCTTTTCATTTTCACTGCAACTTAAGCTGCACAAGAATCCTCTTTGCTTCTAGGGTGGTGGAGTCGCCCTTGGTTGAACAAACAGTCACCACTGCCCAGCAGTTCCTCACTTGATCGGGTGGGGAAGGGAAAGAGCTCGTGCTGGGCTCTGGCTGCAGGTCTTGGGCTTCTGCTACCAGAAGGAAGTCACCCGGTGGCTGCACGGACCAGGGGGAGGCACCGGCAGGCCAGGCCGCTGCACGGCCACTACTGCCTGCCCCTGGGCTCCCCAGCCGGTCACCCAGCAGAGCCGAGGTCGGGGTGGCAAAGAGCCTGCACCGCTCCACGCTGGGGGGCCGCATGAGGCGCGGCTCCAGGCCAGAGACCACTGCAACAGGCTCAGCACCGCAGACCAAAACGCCCCGAGCTTCCAGGTCGCTCAGGGCTGCCTCTTCGGAGGAGCCTGTGGCTGGCCCAGGGACACCTGTCCCTGCACTGCGGGCCCCCTTGTGCCCCGCTGCTGAGGGTGTCTCCCTGCCCCCCCCAGAGGCCTTGGGGCTCCTCACAGCCAAGGGCCAGGCTCTCTGGCCCTAGGCGCCGGGCGAGCCCCCAAGAGCACAGAGACGCTGCAGGAGGACTGGGCTCCTACAAGCTGCCGGGACACTGCAAGCCAATGCTGTGGTGGCCAGGCCTTCCCGGCCCGCAGCGGTGCCCCACTGGCTGCCTGGACGACCGGCGAGCCGTGTGCTGGCAGGGAACGCCGCCGAGCACCCGGCCACTTCCTACCCACTGCCAGGCCGGTGGGCCCACGGGTCCTGGAGACCCTCGCCTACCATGGCACCTGCCCCTCCAGGCTTTTAACTCCAATGGGGGAAAAGAGACCGTGCTTAGGCCCGCCTGCCATTTTCAAACTAATCGCCTCCCGCTCGCTCCTTCCGGGTCTGGGCTCAAAACTCGCCCCCTCGCCCACGCTGCCCGCCCGGGTCCCAGCCCCCGGAAGGCGCACAGAGGAGAGGCGGCCGGAGAGACCCGAGTCTGAAGCCCGGCCTCCCAGCTGGTGCTCTGCAGGGCGTCGCGGCCTGCAGGCCGGGGCGGCAAGGGCCCTTCACTCGCCTCAGGGGCGCACATACTCCCCCCAAGGAAAAGAGAGAGAAAGGAAAGAAGGAGAAAGTAAAAGGGGGACAGTTACACGAAGAAATAAAAGGAGGAAGGAAGGTTGGCTACAATGAAACGACACGTTCATCGATCAACTCTTGGTCCGCCCCAGCCCAGACTCGGACCCGGAGGTTTGCTCTCGGGGGCTCCCCAGCCGGGCCCCTCTCCCGAGCAGGAGCCAAAGCCTTCGGTGCGGCCTCCCCGGGCGCCCCGGGAGGAGCGGCGGCCCCGCTGGACCAGCGCGGGCTCCCGCCACCCGCGGCGGCCTCACCTTCCGGGAAGACCGCGCGCATCTTCAGGTAGCTGGTGGTGAGTCGGATGATGGACGCCTTGTCCAGCTGCGAGGTGATGGCCGATGGCAGCGGGAGCAGCTTGGCCAGCTCGTAAAACTCGCCATTTTCCTTCTCCCTCCTGGTCTTGGCCGCATTCTTGGACTTCTCCTTCATCGCGCCTCGGCGCCGGGCATATTAGACCCGGCCGCGCTCCAGGCCCGCGGAGCCCCGCTCCGGCTGCAGCGGCGGCGGCGGCGGGGAAGGCGGCGCCGGGGGCAGGGGAGTCCGGGCCGCAGACCGCGGGCAGGTGCGCGGGGCCGGCCTGGGCACCGAGGCGGGTCTCCACCGCCGGGGCCCGAGAGCCCGGCTTCACCCAGCGGTGCCGCCCCGGGCGCAGCCTCCTCCGGGCTCGACTGTCCCGCGGCGACCGGAGCCTTGACCTCCGCCTGGATCCTCGCTCTTCCGTCTCCCCTGTTTTATCCCGCGCCTCAGCTTTGCGTAGCGGACGGAGAGCGGCCGGCGAGGCGGCGGTGGTGCGGTTTAGTCCTTGACCGAACGCGCGTAGCCGCTGCCCCGAGGCCCCTGCGGGCTGGAGGGCGGCAAAGGCGGCGGCGGCGGCCGCGGAGCCATGGAGCGGGAGGCGAGCGGTGGGGAGCCGGGGCGTGGGCGGCTGCGGCCGGGCCCGGGCGCGCTCTCCTGCCCTCGCTGGCGGTTTCCTGCGCCCGGAGACACCGCGCCCGGAGCCCGCGATCTGTCGCGGGGCGCAGCAGCTCCGCGGTCCACGTGCGGCCGAGCCGCGTTTGTTTATGGCGGACCCGCCTTCGGGCGGAGCACTCGCCGCCGCTGCCTGGGGAGGGGGAGTCGGGGGGAGGGACCGCGGCGGGGGCGGGGGCGGGGGCGGCGAACCTCGCCTCCGACTCCGCCGCGGCCCGGGAGTCACGGGCGCGCCTCCGCGTCGCGGCCTCCAGGGAGGCTCCCAGGGGAGACGGTGCACGCCCGGGCGAACGGAAGCCGCGGTGAGTACAGCAGGCGCGCCGCGGCGACTGGCGACCCGGCCCCGGGGCCCGGGCGCTCCGGAGGGCGCGGGGAGGAGCGAAGAGGGGAGGAGGGAGGGACGCCGCGACCTCCTCGGTGGCGGGGGAGGCGGCGCGACCCTCCGGCCGAAAGCCCGGCCGGAGGAGCCCGAATCCTCTGAGCCCGCGTCCGTCCCGCGCGCTCAGCCTTCGCACTTCGCAGATCCCAGAGCCTCAAGGGGGGAGGCCAGAAACGACGAACACCCCCCAAACACACACACACACACACACACACACACACACACACACACACACAACGCACCTCAGGAAAGGACGCGCGAAAGGCTTGGAAGTGACCCTTCTGCCCTTTCTGTCCTCGAAACGCGGGAGCAAAAGGAGATGGGCGCCTCACCCGGAGGGGCCGGAGGCCGCGGGGCCGCGCGGACGGACTAGGTCGGGGAGCCGAGCCTCGGGTCCAGGCCTGGCCCAGGGCGGCGGGGGAAACAGGGCCCAGCCTGGGCGCCCGCAGCCGAGCCAGGGCAGCCGGGATTGGGGGGAATCGTGGCTGCGGCGGAAGCTTCGGGTCGCGGAGCGAGGAGCACCCGGCGAGCCCTGGCTGGGGCCACGGTGGTGGGGCAGGAGGCAGTCGCAGCCGGAGGCGCCGTTGGAGACGCGGCCATAGGTGTCTCCCTCACGGCCGCACTGGACCCCCAGAATCCTTCTGTCCTCCGCCCCGTTCCCCCCACCTCCTCCCCGGTGCCTGCAGCCCGCGGGTGGGTCCCTCCTTACATCCCGGCTGCACAGACCCCCACCTCGCTTAGGGGTCTAAACCTTCCGCTCGCCACGCATATCTGTGCGCTAGGAGCACCGCAGCTTCCCGCGGGCACGGGGTCAGAGGGCAGCCTCCGCTGGACCGGGACACGGGGGACTGGGGATCCCTTGGCGAGCAGGCCTGTGGAACTGTGGGGCGCCTGATGGGGGGTCGGCGCGAGGAGGGGAGACGCCCGCGGCCGCCGACCCCGCGCTGAGACCTCCGTCCCTGGTGCCACCTCACCCTCGCGTCCGAGGAAGAGCCGGCTGCTCCGCGAAGTCACCGCCGGGCAACGACTCGGTACCCGCCTCTCTCCCCTGCGCCTGGAGGGCACAGGCGGCGACCGCCGTTTCTGTGGCTGGAGCTCCGGACCTTTTTCAAAGATCCCTTTGAAGGTCACAAGTTCTTCGGCGGCGGGGTGCGTCGCAGCACCCTCGGCGAGCGGGACAGCGCCGAGACCCCGACTCGGCCCCCCTCTGGCCCCGCACCCTGTAGTCTTGGTCTTGGCTCTCGGGCCCGGTGCTCGGAAAACAGGAAGCCGAGCGAGTTGCCAGGCGCACGGAGGAACCGGTACTTTCCCTGGGGATTAGGATTCGGGAGCGCTTTCCCGTTTGCAGCACTGGGCGAAGAGGGTAGGTCGCTCCCGAACGCAGCGCCCCAGGCCCGCTTCCCTGCCCCGAACCCCGCGCGGGGCTGCGCCACCAGCTGTCGGCTCGGGGCTTCCCGGAGACGGGGCGCCAGAAGGGCAGGGACTTCTGGCTGGGCCCCGCCGCATCTGGCGCAGGCCGCCCGGAGTGCGCTCCTGCCCCGGCCTGGCTTCGGGAGGATTTAACGCTCCCTCACCCCCACGGTTTCCGATCCTCAATTATGGACCCGGGAGAATTCCTCCCGGGCTTGAGAGGGATTACCCAGATCGCAGAAACATGGCTAAGTGGAAGAGGGAGAAGCCCGACAAGTAATAGGAACAGAGACTTTTCTCAAACCAAATTTCCCGGATTTTATGGGAAAGCGTACTTGAGAGCTCGCTACCGGGTTTTCACAGTGGCGGCCGTGGACGGCGCGTCGGCAAGACAGGCGCGAGGCGCCCGGTTTGCGAGGAGGCTTACGGCGTGTGTGGAGACCCGCGGCTGCTTGTGTAGGACACTTTCAGGCCCACAGCCTGCCCCGTAGATGCCCAGGCGGGCATCGTACACCCCCCGGCCCAGCACACTCCACGCAGCGGTGGCCTGGTCTCCCGCTGCACCGCCTTTTGTGCCCAGCGTCCTGGGGCGCTGACCTCAGTGTCCCAGGTGGGAAGGAGAGCACTGTCAGTGCGGAAGAGTGAAGAGCCCCACCCGGTGCCTGGTTGGGGCCTTTTGCGGGCTCTCTCTACCTTGGACCAAGACACTTAGGACAAACACCACCAGCTAGAAGCTCGGTATAAACTGGGAAAAGCACTAAACTCGTGCTATTTGAGGTGATCGGGAAGACCGTAGGTGGCCTGCGAAGGGGACACCTGCTGCGTGTCCGGCCCTCCTGGGCTCTTTGTGTGTGGAGTACCTCGCACTCCTGGTCTGTGTTTTTGGCCTAACGCCGGGTACTGTGCCCAGAGCAAGGAAACCAGCCTTTGGAGACTCGGTGCAGAGGCTTAGAGGCAAGGAACGGTCCCCCAAATCCGGACATCATCCAGGACCGGCAATTCCCCTACTGCCCGGCAAGAGCGCGCAGAGTCCAAAACGATGGGGCGCTGAGGGCAGGGAGAAGCGGTGAGAAGGGGGCTCTGACCGACCGGCGCCCAGAGCTCCCAGCGCCCAGCCTGCCTGCAGGGCGCCCTCGCCCGCGCAGGTCCTGCTTCCCGCGTCGGGGGCACCCAGAGGCACAGGAGCGCGCCTCTGCAGACCGCTGCCTCTTAGAAATTTTCCATTAGGAAACTGATCTGGAAGAAATTGAGGCCCCAAGAGGAAAGGGGAGGGCCCAGGCCGCGCCACATCTGCTTGGATTTTCTGCTTCAGATGCTCCGCAACTGTTCTTCCCCAGGCCGTGCCCGGCGCCTACCTGAGGCCCATCCCCCGCGGAAACCGGCTTTCGCGTCAGATCAAGCGGGAAACGCGCAGATGTTCCGCGGGGATGGGCTCCTGGAGGGGCCCTGAAGTGGCAGAAGGAGATCAGGGGCTCGGTCACTAAGGCCTTACGGTGGTGGTGGTGGGGGGGCTTCTTCCCTTTCTAGCACGAGGTGGGGGGGTCGAGTCTCAGAAGTGGCATTTAAGGAGAAAATTAAGTGGCGTTTAAGGGCAAGCCCAGGCAACGGAAAACGCAGGGCTGTTGAGGTTGGACCCTATTCGATTCCCAAGCCCCGGTCTGCATAGATGTGGTTCCTGCAGAAATCTCTGCAGCAGCCAGTACCACCCCGACGGCTCCTTCGTGGTGGAGAGCCCTTCACAGTCTGACCCCTGGGAAAGGTAGGTCCTCCCATCTTTCCCCGTGTAAGCCCCGTGGAGACGTCACCGACTTTTCCTTGTCTGTTGCTCCTAGAAAAGATCAGACAAGCACAATATTGCTATGCTTCGTGAAAAGTAATCACAGGTACCCAGAGTAATTTCATAATGACTCATTCCTCAGGGGTCAGGGCGGAAGCTGCTTCTGCTCACTCCTTCCCGAGTTGCTCAGGGAGCAAAGTTATCTATCTGTTGCTTTGTTTGAAATAAACTTTCACTGGAAGACTCTCCATTGGAGGTGTTTGCTTTTAGGTGGCAGGCGGTTCTCTGATGATCTTGTTATGTGGCAGGAACTAGTGTGGGTCCACCTCTGTGCCCTGGGCCCCGGGGCCCTCAGTGCCCGAGCATTTGGCCTTGGCAGGGGTGTCCCGGCCTGGCTGGGGGTGGGGGTGGCGGGCAAGGGAAGAGGCGCCCTGGGGGGCCTGCTTGAGGCCGATTCTGCTCCCTGGGATTCTGAAAAGAGTGTCGTCCTTCCCCGGGACTCTACCCAGCACCTTCACCTTTTCGGGTCGGGATTGGGGGCCTGCCCCGCCGTGCCTCCTATCCCAAGCACGGGGTAGCTGGCGGAGAATTCTCTCCCTCCCTCACGGCAATGCATTTAGGGGAACAAAAACAGTTAGTGCCACTGGTAATTAATTACAGTGATTTGCAAGGTCCCTGAGCAAGGGGCACATGGAGCTTCCCAAGCCGCGCTGGTTTTGGGTAAAAGGCGGCCACAAGTATTTTCTGATTTTATCTGGGGGTGAGGAGGTAAGCCTCTCCTCTGCATTTTCTTTCCCCGCCTCCTAAGCTTGGCCCTGCTTTCTCCCCCAACTGTGAAAAGGTGCCGAGGGACTTCGGGGCGCCCCTCCCAAGACCCAAAGGCAGGCCGGCGGGCTCGGGGGAGCGAGCACAGGCAGCGCCGCGCGCCCTGGATCAGCGCGCAGGGGCCGGCCAGGGACCCGCGGCTGCGGGACAGGGGAGCGCGAGCGTCCTCCTCCTGCCCTTCCACGACCAGGCCGCGGGGAGCCGCGAGGGGTCCCAAAGGGCTCTCCGCGCGGCTTAACAGAAGTGTCGCCTGGAAATCTTGGTTCCGGGAGAGGCCGCCCATCCGTTCCCCGCGCCGCCGCGCCCCTCGCCTCCAGCGAGCCCGGCGCC